TATTTTTTTACACCATCAGAAAGTACAGATTTCAACGAAGAAAAAGCCCACCGACGTTTTTAAAAAAGCAGATATTTTGACTTGAGAATTTTCGATTGAAAATTAGGGTGCTTTTTCGATAATAAGTAAAAATAAGGTGAAAAAACAAATATTTCAAATCAAAAAAATTACAGCGTGTTTGGGACATAAATAGGTGTTTTCACCAAATTTCGTGAAAAAAATTTTTTTTTGTAAAAGAAAAATTAAAAACCAAAAACTTGGTTATTTGAATTTTTCACATAAATTTTGAGGTTATGTGAAAAAAGTGCAAATACAAAAGTTGTAGATCTTTTTATTACCTACAACTTTGTCATTTAACTTTTTTCCATAAGACTTGTAGTTTTTCTGGAAATCAAGGGAACCCGTTTTTTACCCTTAAAAACTCACCCCCTACCCCTTCCCGACCTCAGATTATATATTATATTATATTCTCTTTCTTTTCCAATGGGTTTCATCCTACTATAATTTTTTTTGGTTTAAAAAATTATCCACCCTGGTCTAAAACGTAAAAAAGGTGACTTGAATTTTTTCCCTAAAATTCACCATTTTCAAGTTGTTCATACAAATACAATCCCCTTGTGGCAGACATTTCAAATCATAATATTACAAAATTATGTTTATGCTTAAAAGTAAGTGCAATTTGTAAGCACATCAACGAAATTCTTTCCACATCACTTGTGAGGTAGTGTTCCTGGTGTGTTTTAGTTTTCCCTGGAGACATTATCTTTACAAATAAGAACAATTTAAATCAAAATAATAATAAAAATACATTTACCAAGCAACAACAACTAAACAAGAAACAAAATTAACGTTGCGTATTTACAGCAATTGTTTAAAATGCGAACCACCCACATCGATACATTTCTGACATCTTCTATTAATGGAACTAATTGAAGCTAATATCATGTTTGCTTTTAATTCATTACACTCGTCTTCTATTCGCTGCAGTAGTTGTGGTCTAGTATCTATTGAAGTAGATTAAACTTTTCAGGTAGGTCACCCCAAACATAGAAGTCCAGGGAGTTTAGATCTGGCGATCTGGCTGGCCAACACACTGGACCCTCGGCACCATTATGATTCACATTGGCATTTGGTCTTCTACCTATCCATCATCTCATATAATTTTCATTAAGCCATGTGACCAAATGTCCAGATTGTGAAAATTCACTCTCGCCTTGTGAACGTAGTCTCATCGGTCCAAAGTATTTCTAGTAAAAATTCAAACAACCACTGATAAAAATTCAGGCGTCTCTATGCATCTCCCGGAAGTAAATTTTGCACAGGTTGTAAATGGTACGGATTACTGCCATTCTTACGTAGAACTTTTCAAATTTTCGATTTACTCCCCCAAGTTGCCGAGATATTCTTCGTGTACCTACTTAGCCGAGGATCGTCGTCAAATGCTTTTAAAATTTTATTTCTGTGCCTTTCATTCCTTTATCGTGATTTTCCAAATATTGTTTTAATCCAAAAAGAAAAATAATAATTCGAAAACATGTTTCACTATACAACAGATTAAAATAAAAAATTAATAAAAACAACAAAAAAACGGCCTACCTTTGAAACAACCACATAGAGGCAGGTAACTGTGATAAATCGTACCACCACGATCTGTTTGTCACCATTTCTTCGCAGTTAACTATGGATTATTGTGTATTGTTTATATGGCGATTAATAAATAGTCACCTGTTTACCTACAAGGAATGTCCACAAGTGCACGTTGTGCGAATTGATAGACGATTGTATCCAAAAATACAACGCATGTGACATTTACAGTACTATTTACAAAAGGACTAGAATAGATGGACAAATATAGCAGTAATGAAAGGTGCATATGTCTGATATATAGAATAACGTTATCGAAAAAAATGGGAAGAGATGCCTACACAGGAACTGATAGTTTTGTACAATTTATATAGAAAAAATATGGCTCTTTTTATAATATCAAGTACGTTGACGCATATTTTTGTGTTCATAAATCAAATTTTATTTAAATTGTACAAAGCAGTTGAAAATTATTTTAAAAATATTTTTTACAACATCGACGCCCTCTAATGACTACACGTAGCAACTTATGATAGAGGAATAGGCGATACGAAATATCTACCTGTACCTAAACATAATTCAATGTATAAAATCTTTTGGCTAACAAAATTACGAACAAAATAATGAGGCATAAAAAGACAAAATTTTGAGAATAGAGAGAAAGAATAAAATTAGAGTACTACTAGTAATTATACATCCAAAACAATGAAATAACACATTATAATTAAAATAATTTGTAACTTCGTAGTGGTTAACTTAGACTTACCCTCATCCACAATCCACATCTTACCACGTATCAACAGGGAAAGAGGCAAATTAGGCAACAGCTTTTAGAACGCAACGCACCAATGTTAACAATATTTAAACTTTTTTTCAGGTATCCCCATCCCGCTAACGATAACATCTACAGAAAATCACACACCGACAACAACCACTGTATCTTCCTCCGCTTTCCCTCCCACAGTCAGCAGCAATGAAAACAATCAAAAAACGGTGCACACCGTGACGTCACCCGGTCTCGGTGGTCACTTGATGCAAGCGACAGAGATATGTGATGATAAAACTGCCGAAGTTTAACTTTCATAACGTTTAAATTATTATTAATGTATTTTGCATCTATTGCACATTTAATTTATAATAAATACCCTTACTTTCTGTTTACTTCAGTTTATAAATTGTACAACCGCTATTGCAACCCTGGTAGGGTAGAAAGAAATAAACGAAATTAAGAATGCAAAGTGGCAGCTATGCGCACGCTGTTTAACCTTGAACAAAGCTTTGAGAACAATTTGTAACTTTTGAGTTTGAGTGTTTTCAGTGATTTTGTGTTTATTTCTTTTACAAACAATGAGGCTTGTAATTAATAATCCAGTAACAAACAGCCCATGGACGCCAAAGATGCCCAACAACTTTCGTGGGTCGCATGCTGCTGCAAAGAAACTTCCTGAGCCTGCCGATCCCAAAGTAAAGGTTAGTTTTTTTGATGTTTCACCCATTTATTTTTATGCTTGTTATATCTTAAGTTTATTTCTCAATATAACAATTAGTTAATAACAATTTGTCTACAATTTGGAGGATGATTTTACAAATAGGTAGGTAGGTACCCACCTATACATTGTACCTACAAAATTTTAGAGATACCTAGGTACAGTTTAAAATTCGAATATTACAAACATGTCTACAAAAATCCTTATGATGTAGAAAGAGATATTTTCCTGTTATGAAGCACATCAGGGTGGCTTGGTTGTGTATTTTTCTGTTTTGGTTTTATAACCCTAAATTTTTCTGTAAATAATAGGAGTCAAATTATTTATTTTTAGCTAATCTTGCAGCTTGCTTTAATAATAATGTAGTAAAACGATACCAATTCAATGAATTTTTACCATTTTTTTTTTTTAATCAAAATTGACGGTGGAGTCTATTTGTAGTATTTTTAATACCTCCTAAATACAACACTAGGTTGGCGGCGTTGGCGCAATCAAGTGAGACTATTTTTTTAGGGTAAGGTCCCGAAAGGTCACCATTTCATCGGTTTTCCATTGCCAGGAACGCATAGCGCTCTATGACTTTTTATGTGGGTGCATTTTTCAGAAAAACATGTTAGAATTTTTTTTATTATAATAACGCTGTAAGGTTATTCTACTTCTAAGTAGTTGTGTACCAAATTAGAAGAAAAAAATCTATTGGTTATGTTCCTTGCGCCAATGAATTTTATAAAAATCAAAATTGAACTACATATACATATAAAGGACCATAATATGCGCTTCTAAGATGCCATGAAATCAACAATACAACACCGTAGGACTTAACCTTTCTTTTCGTCTCTTCTCTTAAGAAATTAATATATATTTTTTCTTCATATTTTCATTTATTTGAGTCAAGGAGAATAAGTTACAGCATTATTTTTCGAATAGAAAAATCATAACATGTTTTTCTGAAAAATGCACATATGTAAAAAATTCTCGAAAATAATCATAACAGGCCATTCGTGGGCAATTGGATTACTTGCCAAATAACGATCATTCCCCATAACAAAATAGTTTTTCATTCCAGGAGCCTACTTGTGTTTAAAGGTATATTAATAGGAAAAATCAGACACATTGTGAAAAGAACTTTTTTCTGCATATGTAGGTATTTATATTTATTCCTATTATAAAAATTATAGCGTTCCGCACCTTCTTAATAAAGAAATATATACTTGAAGTCTCTTAGTATATAATATAATCGATTTTGAGGAAGTATATTTTAAAAATTCTATACAAGTTTTTATCAACTCTTTATAATATTTTTTTAAGTAGGCCCTGAAAGACAGCAGTACTTTCTTTTTATTTTAAAAAAATCAATTTTTATGCGAAATCTGCCGTAAAGCGGGAGGTAAATCAGTTACGGCCTTTTTATTTAACATTTAAATGCAAAAATTAGGGCGCTCCCTCTATTAGCCCAATCAAAATTTAAAATCTTTCCTACTATCCACAGTTAATAGTAATTCTACAGTCAAAATAAATTGATACATTTTTTGACCTTATTGAATTAATTGTTTAGTGTAAAATACAAAATTGTCAATATGCTGGGAATTATTTGTTAACTACATTTAAGTTGCCTTTTCTTTTACTATAATCAAGGTCACAAAGCCATTTTCCGCAAACAGATCATTCCATAATAGATAAGTAGCTCTATAATACAATTTAAAACAACATACAGTGTTTTAAGTTTGTTTCCTCATCATTTTGAATCTCATTTTTTTTTCGTAAAACAAGTAGACGGTACTATAATATAGTAGATAACCTTAATGATTAAAATTATTAGAAGTTGATAACACACAAATTTGATGTCCCACTGTGTAATAATTGCATAAAAAAATTGACTTATGAAACAGCACACGGGGTTCGGCTTCGATAGGTAACAAAAAAAAATAATAAACACAAATTCCTCGACATCTTTAATTGAGAATACTTCTCACATCAAACCTCGGTATATTCGGCACAAACCTTCTTAAGTCGTCGATGGTACACGCATACATATACCCCCTTTGAACCCAAAATCTGTCAAAAGTCAACCACGTTAATTTATCAGCTATGTCGTCGCAGATAATGCTTCTCTCGATGTCAGTCTGGTAAGGATTATTTATTCCCAAAACAGCGACTCCTGCCTTGTTGATCGGGTCGTAGGCGACCTTCCAAAACAGTTCCGGAATCGGCATGGCTCTGTTGCCATTGTCGTCGACAAAGAAATAAAGTTCCACGTCTTCACCGGTTACTTCATGGGGAAGAGTTGATATTCCATAGGTACCTACGATTTAACGCATAAGAATAACAGAAACAAAACACTTCCACATAGACATTCTCTTTACCTGTGTATACCTCCAAATCTACGAAATTATTCGCTGCGTAGTTCCTAAGGTTTCTTTCGAAATAGAACCAGTTGTACCCGTTGAAAGTCTGCCACTGGGGGGCAGAATTGATGTAGTGATAAGTTTGCATTTGCTGTGCGTTGTACATGTAGTCCGTCCTCGCTATTAAGTGACCTCTAGCTATGTAGTGGTGACCTGAAAATATTACAAACTTGTTTCATACAGAGTGTATGTCGATTGCCTTCGCAAAAACATCTTACCAGAAGCTTGTACATATTTAAAGTCCCCATCAGGCAATCCAACTTGCCTGTTGATTGTTACTCTGTGATTCGCAATCGGATATATGTTGTTAAGGGTAACACCCAGGTTATAAAAAGTACCTTCAGACCAGGTAGGGCTAGTGCCACCCGTTATTTGATTTCCTATCTGTTTTGTCAGGATATATCGACTGTAGAGGACGTTTCTCGCAACATCATCAAAACAGGAAGTCAGCAATTGCAACCATCGGCCGTCTCTCACCTGGAGGCCTACTTCGATTTCTCTTCCGTTACCCCAACAGCTTGCTCCTGTGTATCTGGCGACGCTGGTTATTCTGCTGGAGCACAGGACTGTGCCGATGTCGACGGAGTTGCCGGCTATGTCGAAAGTTGTTCCTGAACGGCATTTCGCGTTGGTAATTTCTCGGGTCGTCAAATCACCAGCTAGCAAATTAGCTGTTCCGGGACAGTCTAGTTCCACCGATTCTCCACTGGCCAAAGTTACGAAGGAAGATCCATAGTTGGGGTAGAGTATCTCTTTTGTTGATAGGCTCAGGACCAGTGGAGTGTGGTTGGGTAATTGGTTAATATGATATTCGCATCCTAAAATTTGTTATTACAATATTTTTGTCTGTATTACTTTTCACCAAACTTTCGATTTATTTACTCAATACCTAGTGAGTAGGTACGCTTATAATTTATGGATTTAGTAAATTAAAATCTATTTTCAGTTAAGGAATACCTATTTAAAAAACATTTGACAATATTAAATCTCAGCTAAAAGTAAAATCCCTTTTCAAAAAAATTGTTTAAAGAGTAGTTATAAATTTGTAACTTTGACTAACAAATATTATTGTTGTGGCTGTATCAAAGGAAAGGCATAATAATTATAGCATCTAATTTAAATATCACACATACCTGCAGATCTCGTATTGTTTGATACTTTGAAACAAGTAACTATTGAACTGAAACTGAAAAAAATTAGTAGCGAGAGAAACATTGCTAACGGAGCTCAAACAAATGCTTGGAACACGGCATCAACATTTAGATTATATATTAATCTGATCTAAATATTATCTTGATAAATACAATTTTAATATTTTATTTAAAGGATGTACTTACCAAATCAGTAGCGCGTTGTGATGCTTGTCGAAGAGTTAAACATTTAAAAAGTCATCCTCTTTAAATAAACATTACTATAATTTTAACTCTTCAAATACGTCGAAAAATGTTCAATAAGTTCCAAGACCTTTTTACTAAATGCAATTATTTTACTACCTATATTTAATATGTTTATATTTATAATTTCTAAAAGTTGAATTGACTTTGTCAGATGATAAATCTCTTTCTTTAGCTTTATAACATAATATACATGGTAAACATAACTATCTTCTATGCAATGACTATTTCAGTAAATATTTTATTTTATTCGCGACAACCGATGATTGTACTTCACTGATGTTCATGTGATGTACATATTATATTATTTCACTCTATATATAGATTGATTTATTAGTTTCCGAGATATAGCTTCATTTTTCGTTTTTTGACATTTTTATCCAGAAACTAAGAATTCTATAAAAACAAAGAGGTATTTCACATTCATTTGGAAAGGCTGACATAAATACATGTCTTAGTAGCCTTAATACTACAAATATTTGTCCATTGTTAGCGATGTTAATGCAGAAAAATGATAGTTTACACAAAAGATAAATGTATAGATAAATAAAGACATATAAAAATACTAAAGTGATTAAAATCTCTGGCAAACAAGTAAAACGTAAGCCTTGGATTACTAGTGTTCTTATACAGTCTATAAATATAAAAAATGAGTTGTTAGCCAATGTTCTTCGGAATGAATGGCCTGTATATGTTTCAGGATGTTCTAGTATACAAACAACACCAAATAAACCAAAACGACAGAAATCTATAAATTAGGTATAAAACATACAAAAATAAGCTAAACACATTGATAACAAAAGCAAAAAATATATATTAAAACATAAATTGAAAAAAATAAAAGTTCATCTAAATTGTTATGGGAGAGTATTAAAAGAATATGTAATAAATCTAAATCTGAAATAAAAATAAGTGAAATTAAAATTAATAATGGTAAAATAATAACAGATAAATATGAGATGTCAAAATTTTTCAATTAATATTAAAGTAAGCTGGGCGAGAATTATGCAAATAAAATTTGAAATGTATACAAATTGTGATGAAGTGAATTCAATTATTAATCTGTTAAAATCGAAGATATCTCCAGCCCATGATGAAATTTGTGCTGAAACATTAAAAGGAATTGCAGATGAAATAGTTGTTCCGCTTTTTATAATAAACAAATGTTTTGAAGACGGTTATTTTCCAGACATATTAAAAATTGGGGTAATCAAGCCTTTATATAAGGGTGGAGATAAAATGGAAGTTGTTAATTATAGACCTGTTTCTTTAATATCTAAAGTGGCAAAAATTTTAGAAAAAATAATAAAAAAAAAGAATTGTAAAATTTTTAGAAAAACAAACTAATATCAGATCGGCAGTATGGTTTTAGGGAAGGAAGGTCAACGGAGAATGTCATTTACAAATTGATCATATATAAGAAAAATCCTGCACTGTGCATCTTCGTTGATCTCTCTACAGCATTCGATACAGTTAGCCACGAAATACTTAGAATTAGAGGAAATACATAATTTAATAAAAAGCTACTTGTGCAACCGAAAACAACAAGTAAATGTTGGTGGGGTAAGAATTAATCTAGAAACCGTTACCTATGGGGTTCCACAGGGAACGGTCTTGGGTCCTGTATTATTCACAATCTATATAAATTACTTACCCTTCCAAGGGCTTCCAAGTTGTATAATATTTTACCAAATACTTAATCTTAAAAATATAAATATTTTAAGCATACAGTAAAGCTATGGATTCATGAACAAGGCAGAGAAATATTTATTATTTATTATTATATTATTATATTTTTCTAATGATAATAGGATTCTAGGTTTATTGTATTTCATATTCAGCATTTATTAAAAGATCTTTCAAGATTAAGCAATAAGAGTAGCCTATAATTTTAAGACTTCGATGTCTTTATGAATATGTATTACAAAGCACATACTTTTGATAATGCTAGCTATCAAAATCGTGTGATTGCCTTAATCCATCTTAATTATAGTTAATTCTGAAACAATGGTTATTTGTATATTAAAAATTATAAACAAATTTTCAACTATATATAAACATGTTAACGTCAATGCAGTAATTTTAATAAGAATGTTATTATTATTCTCTAGAAATTGATTGATTGGATAATGCCGTGGATCAAAATTATCCTTGATTGTTGTTAACAAGTCGATTATTTGTAATAACTTCAAAATTGATATTATGCGATCCTGACGCCATTGCATTTTTATATCACCAGCTTTTGTTGTTGCAGTCCATTTCCCGACGTCCGTCGCAGCGCCCTCGAAAGCCTTCACCAAAATTGCAAATAACTCAAATCTACCACGAACAGCTCTTGCCTCTCTACCCTTATCTCTCCAAAACTCAGGTGAGAGCTGCCATCACCTTAGCAAACAACAACTTGCACCAATCCCGCCTTTTTTTGGATCTTGCCAACAAATTCGCGAAGTTACCATGCCTAAATCTAGGTCTGAATTTCCATCTTAAGAGGCCATCTAATTCACCAGAAGAGAGTAGTACCAATGACGACAATTTCACCACTGCATTGCAATCAAGCTCATCTGTATCTAGCGTATCTAATAAATCTCAGAATGACAAATCTGGTCAAGAAGGATTAAGTGGAAGCTTCTCAACTAGTGACAATTCAAGCTCGTCTGGTAAGTAAAAGTTGGCAACCAATGTCACCATGGTGTTATACTTGGTCATATTTCCAAATTTTGGTAATAGAAGTATTACATTTACGTCTATAGGTGTTGGACTTTTTTAATTCTGCTGATTTTATTTTGCTCTAGCAATTCAAGGGTTACTTTTTTATCATTATAGTTTTCGACTTTAGCGATGCCGAATGTACTTCTGAACCCATCCAAAGCTGGTCCAGCCACAGAATGCAGATAGCAAAGAAGAAAATTGGAGTTTCTATTATTAGATCAAGTAAAGGCTACAAGTCTTTCCTACTATAGATAGTTTTTGCATACAACTCCACATTGTTTATTTTTGTTATTAGTTATTGTTTATTTTAAATATTTTTCATTTACTTTTTTTGGTTATGTATATTTGTTACGTTTACATCTTTTATAAAAATATTTGTTACTTTTTTTAAATAAACAGAACTTTTCTACATAGTCTTTTATATTTATTTAATGCACACTTTTTCAAGTGTCATTAAAAAAATTTTGAGGGTTTTGTGTTTTGATAATAAAGGAATGCCTAAATTAAAGGAGGACGAGTATTTTTATTAAAAATAAACTTATGATCAAAGTAAGAAACAACCTTTATTGCCATCAAACAAGTAGTCCAGATACCTGGAGGTTAGGTGCGTAAGGAACAGCCCTTCTCAAATTGGCTACAGTGCAAGCATAGGAATATCCTTGAGTAATATTAAGCCTATTCCACGTCAACCAATTGAGGCTACTCGACACATCTGGACAAATTAAGTTACTAGCAACAGTCGTATCATACGGGTTGTTCACCCCTATCAAAGCAACGCCTCTTCTCGAAATCGGTTCATACACCACCTTCCAGTAGATTGCAGGAGCTGGTAACGCTCTGTTCCCGTTATCGGTGAAGAGATAGATGGGTATCTGCGCCCCGGTAGTCTGATGGGGAAGAGTGGTTACACCATGTATCCCAGTCCACACTTGAAGATCCACAGCGTTCCTACTCGCGTAGCTTCTCGTGCTACCTTCGATCTCGTTCCAGTTCAACCCATTGAAGGTCTGCCACTGCGGGGCAGCATTCGTGTAGCGGAAGGTGGCGTTCTGTTGCGCGGGATAGAAGAAATCAGCTCTCGCTGTTAGATGCCCTCTCGCGAAGAAGAACCAGCTCCCATTGTCGATAAAAGTAAGATCAGTCGTGGATAGACCTATTAGCGTGTTGACTGTCTGCCTTTGTACGGCTCTAGTGTACAGTTGGTTCACCGTTCTGCTCCCTAAATTGTAAAACTCGTTATCCTGTCCGAACAGCGGTCTTGGAGTTCCCTTGGCGTTGTTGCCAATCGAAGCGGTCATGTCGAAATAGGTGTAGAGCGGGCTCTGGGCGACGGTGTCGTAGCAGACCAAGATAATACGCAGGAAGCGACTGTCGGTAAGGCTGAATCCGATCTCTCCAACCCTGCCTCCGCTTTCGCATGTCGCCCCCGTGAATCTGGTGATAGCCACGGCGTCTCCGGCGCAGGAGACTTGGGTGAAGAGAGTCCTTTCGCCGAGGATGCGGAACCGGATGTTGGAGATGCAGGTGGCGCTGACGCTTTCTTGCGCTCGGGAGCCCAGTACTACGAGTACGCTTCCGGGGCATACCAGGTCCACCGTTTGTCCAGCGGGAATGCGTAGGGTGGTTTCACCGTGCTCGGGGTAAAGGAAAGTGTTTCCTCCGTTGGGTATCACCAGGGGAGAGTTGGTGTATACAAGAGGATTTATTTCACAGAAAACTGAAAAAATAGCAATATTAAATGTGAATCATTTGTTTAAGTAGGTAGGTACACATTTATGAATCATTTCGCAACTACTTGTTACAGTGAAGTTTATCTTCTTAAAGCAGAATTTCCTACCAGTCGGGAAGTGTTTGCGCAAGTAGATAGTATGGCTACCGACGCGACGGAAAACATACAGGACAGGGAGGAAACATTTGTTAATAGAAAACGTGCAATTATACTCTGAAATATGGGATGCGTGCTATAAGCATTAGAAGTAGGATTAAAAAACAAAACGCTTTTAAGGATTTGTCAAAACTGTTGAACACTGGTGAGACCAGGTCAACCAAGAATTTATAATAATTAAAACGAAGAAGTCAATGGACAGAGAAGATTTATAAATGTTCGTGACAATTTTATGGTGCTATAAATTTTTTGGATATCAAACTGATACTGATTTGCAAGCTTCCGCTGCTGTTACCAATGTTACAAATTTTTCTTTTTGGTTACTAAGACTTCAGGCTACTTATTCCTTCGAGAAACATCAATACCACTTTCTTCAGAAATTTCAATTTGGTAGCTTTACCTACTTACTCGCTACTTACTCCAAAAATTTCCAGTCTGGTTGAAAAACCTGTTTTTCGCTCTAGAAAATTTTATTTGCTATTTTTTCAATAGTTTTCGGTTTTTTTTCCAAGACGTCTAAAAGATCTTAAAACACGTTTGTAAGGGCATTGAATAATTTGATACAATGCTATTGGAATGTAATCAAGCAATAATTTAAATTACTTAACTGATGTATTAAATTAAATTAACACAAATTAAGATTTTTATATCTTGAAGCAAAAACTAATTAATAGATTTTAATTTTAATAAATGTGCAAAATGGAAATATATGTATTTATACGTACCTTCATCCTCTTGGATCGCAGCACCTTTACTCAGGTGGACCGCTAAAGTTAAGATAAAGATGCTGACGATCATCTTCTAGTACCTGAGTGACAATCTCGCACTAGCTAAATGTATTGTATTTATATTGATTTATCCCAACCAAAAAACCTAATATCTTATCTTACCTATTTAATATTCTTATAATAACATAAGCCGGCATCTTAAATATATCTTTTTTGTTTTAGTAAGTGTATTTTAAGATATTTAAAGAATTGTGTGAAAATGGTTAATGTTATATATTTTTCTTAGATATGGAAAAATACGAAATAGTTTAAAATAAAAGAATAACATATGTATATAGTCCACCAGTATTTAATTTTCTTTTGTTATATTTCAATTAAGTCAAATTTAGGACGGTCTATGCGTGGAAAAATGTAGATGTTTAAAACATAATCTGGTTATTAAAACAATTAACCAACGTGTCTTTAATTTAATTTAAATATTTTTTTAAGTATTAAAAATAAGATATAATTATAAACCAGTAAACAAAATGCTGTGAGAACAAAATATCCAGTTCAAGTTATAAGTTAGATAAAATAGATCTTGTGTCTATAAAGTATGGTATAAACTTAACAATTGGATAATCGCGATTCATTAGTCCGAATAAAACAATGAACGACAATTTCTATAGAGACCACTTCCAAAAAAATGTGAAATAAAAAAATGTAACAATCGAATATTTATTATACTATGATGTCCTAAATAACATGGGCTAAACTTTACCTGATAATAATAAAACTGCTCAAAATAAGAAAAAAATTCCCAAATTTAAAAGATCAAAATTAATAGAAGATAGAATAAAATTTTGCGAGTCTCTAATTCGTAGTTATTTTGTTTTACAAAATATAAAAAATTTAATACCTAGCTATGTACATATATTTTTAGATGTTTTTCTTTACTTGTTTTGAATATTTTAACCAATGTTTTTGGGAGTATCAACTTGAACATCATTTATTTCGTAAACTAAGTACCTACATACTTTCCTACCCATTTTGATGAGAACTTTTTTCTTATTTTGAAGACCACAAAATTTTCATATTAACGGAAAACCGATTTTCTATTAAATATGCAGTTTTCTTAGATTTAGGTACCTACCATTTTATTCCTCACGTCCAAATTTTATCAAGTTTCTTGTTTTTTTTTCAAATCTTTAGAGTGGATATATTAAAATTTGGACTGATATGGAAAAATATACTTATATAAAGATAAATCTTGAGATTACATAAATATTGGAGTTTAGATTACAATAGATCAATTTCTAAATATTTAATTTCAAAGAGATAATAAATAATGAAAATCGAAATAGTCGTTCGCAAATTATGAGTACATATAGGAGTAATACATGTATTTTCATACAATTTCCTGCAAAGAAATTTTTATTTTTGCGTTGTTTTACCGTTAACTAAAGATCAATTTTCAATTGCTAAACTGATATTTTAAATCTTAAGTCCTCCCTTAATTGCCTTAAACAGCAATTCAATAATTCCTTAACAATATATCTACTCCTCATTTTAGTTTCAACGATTAGCCCAGAAGTCGGAGACTTTGTGGGGGAGAGGGGGCGACATATTAACACATTTGAAGGTGTCGCTGGTGATATATATTTTTTTAATCTATAAAACTTGTAGGAATTTACAGATGAAATTTTAGAGATCTAGATAGGTACTAATTATTTTCTTCTAGATAAGATGAGTAGAAATCATTTAAAAATTTGATTTGAATTGGTCAACATTGATGAGGTGGAGGCAAAAACTACCGTAACTTTGTGGATGTTTTATATTATGCAAAATTTAAAAATTGCTTTTTCACAAAAGAAAGATTCTTTTATTGGACATTTTTTGCTTGGCAGACTAATTATGGAACATCTTTATGTAATACAAAAATGTAGAAAATTACTGAAGGGAACCTAATTTCATTGCAGCACTTTTTTAAGGTTTCTACTCTGAGTTAATTTATGTTTCACAAGTGCAAATATCTATATTTCTGTACCCAAATACTTCGATAATGACTGAATCACTTTATATAAGAATTCTTTTTTAAAATTGTTCAAGCTTTTCAAATTTTCCAGCGAATTTCCAAAATGTTGAAAAATAACAAAATTGAGATGATAAACACCCATCACCCTTGCCAAAATTGCCCCTTCCAAGTTGTATATCAATTTTATAATTTTGTTAGCAGCTTTGGTGGAAAAAAAACACTAACTTATTTTTTTAGAGGTGGTGGCTCCCTTGTAATAAAAAAAATTCATGAAATGTATGAAATAACGGACTAAAATAGGGGTGATTTTGAGCAGGATTTGACATAGGGGAGTTTTTTAGAGAACCAAATATAAATGAGACTGATATAACGCAAATGTTTTTTGGCAGTCCTCTTTATTATCTTTAAAAATGTATTCTTCTTGAAAATCTGCTAAAATGCATTGTTACGGAGGATGGATTCATTTGTTACAGCAGTCGTTCCTACTGAGTATTTAGGAGGATTCTAACTTAATTTCTTCCTAAATTTGTAACTTAAATAAATATTTTTTTATGATTTAGACTGATTTACCCTCATTCAAAAGCCTATATCTCAGTAGACATCGACTTTTTATAAGAGCTGTAGATCATAAAAAATATTAATTTAGCTACAAATTTAGTAAAATAGTGAAGTTTATTAAATTAAAATGTGGAAGTACTCGGCTGTACGCAAGTGATGACTGTAGTAAAAAATCAAATCCAATTTTTCTCTGGAATAGCGCATTTTGGTAATGTGCAACATTACCTTTTTTGCAATAAATAAAATGATACTCCTTAAAATGTCTCCGTTTTCTCACAATCTCTGTCAGAAAAATAAAGCAAAAACAAAACCATTTAATCGTAGCTCCATGTTGGAAGCAGAAAAAATATTTGGTTATCCTGAAAATACATGAAATAAAAGAAATTTTTGTGAGCCAATAACTGTTTAAGAGTGCAAAATTACACTAAGATATCTTGGTTTATATCGATTGATTTGCACCTAAGAAAGCTACCCTTAAATATGAACCATTCGCGTCTGGATTTTTTTTGTAATCAAAAGGTATTTTCTTCGTTTTTGTAATTTTTTTTTCGTCTAGCATTTTATCTTCCATTTCCTTTTTTTATATTCTCAATGCACTACCCTTATGGGTGAGAAAGTTTATAAGTCTGTCAAACTCTGTGCAAATCTTGTTTTTTTTGCGCAATTTGGCAGAACACCAACTTTCTCTGAGAAAGTCTATATGTCTGTCAAATCCTTGTTTAAATCTTGTTTTTTGCACAATTTGGCAAAAAAACAACTTTCACTGAGAAAGTCTTTATAAGTCTTGTCAAACTCTGTTTAAATCTTGTTTTTTGTGCAATTTGGCAGAAATTTGAAACCAGAGTTTGATAGACTTATAAAGACTTTCTCAGTTTTTATTGAAAATAAGTCTTGTTTTCTCTATATTAGAATTATTTTAGGTTTTCTGCACACAAATTTCCATAAGAGTAGTTTAAAAAAATGGAAATTTGTTAAAAATGAGAGAACAGTTTTATAAACATATGTACAAGCCTTTTCAAGCACTCAAAATCAAAGGTGAAGTAAAAAAAAATTAAAAACCGACAACATACCCCCAATGAAGCAAAATTGATTTCACTTGGTTGTGATTTTAAGTTTTTGTTTTGCAACAGGTATCTAAAATGTGTCGAGATTCATACAGTGACTTCTAAAATGGCCGAATCCCACGTGACAAGATTTGTTCTGGAATTCAGTAAATTAGATTTTCTTCAGAAATTACCAAAAAAAAAATCACCAAGATACGTAATTTATAATAATTCTCCTTCGAACTGCTGTTGTTGACTAATTTGACCTCCATATGCGTGATAGCGGCAACGCACAGTGGAAAATATTGGACAAAATTCTTGCCACTCGCCAATTTTCATCGTCTCGTCGTGATTTTTTTTTTTTTAATAATCTCGTGGTAATCTGAATTTTCATATTCCGGTGAGGTTTTTTCGAAAAACCCTTTTTTTAATGCTTAGGGACCACCCCAACCTCAGTGTCGAAGAAAAAATTGTTAAATACTCGATGTTCAGTTGTGGAAAAAAATGTTTAAAAAGTATCTGCCATTAATAAAATTGATTATTACGATCCTTAATGTTATATCTGATGTTTTTTCTTCAAAAACCTAACCTCAAAATTGTTAATTCTAACCTAAAAGCCTTAAACGAAATTTACATTGGAAAAAAAGTTATTTTACATGCCAAAAGTACGAAATAGATTCAATAGAACCCTACGTAACATATTATACCCAAACCATGAATTTGAATCTAAAAAACCTAACCTCAAAACCAACATTAACTAAGTTTAAACTCACTAAATTAAGGATTAATAAAAAAAAATGAAAAATATCTTTATTGTACATAGATTCGATCAACAATTTTTCCGAGAGCACACACCTTGTGCCATGTTAGAATTAATAATTTTGAGGTTAGGTTTTTGAAGAAAAAACATCAAATATAACATCAAGGGTCATAATCAATTTTATTAATAGCAGATACTTTTTAAAAATTTTTTCTACAACTGACATCAAGTATTTAAAAATTTTTTCTTCGACATTGAAGTTAGGGCGCTCCCTAAGCATAAAAAAAGGGTTTTTCGAAAAAACCTCACCGGAATATGAAAATTCAGATTACCACGAGATTATTAAAAATAAATCACAAGACGATGAAAATTGGCGAGTGGCGAGAATTTTGTCCAATATTTCCCACTGTGCAACGCCGCGGTTCTCGAAGTAGCGTATTATTTGAAATTCGTCGTGACATATGATGTGTATTTCAAGCTTAGGCATCCAAACAAAGCCAGCCAAGTGCAACGTTGCCAAATCTAAAGGCTTCCTACTTTAGTCACTAGCGAATGTACAGAAAATCTCGGTTAGACTTTAGACGTACCTCCGTACCCAATAAACCTCCTTAAATGTCAATCCAGAGGTGTTCGTAATTTTTCGTGTTTTTTTAAAATCTGTCATTTGTATAATTTAGCAATGTTTACCAGTATTTCTGTGCATTTCTACGAATTAATATTTGTCGAATTGAAAAAAAAAAATTGTTTCTTTTAATAATTCCGAAAATTCGTGAGGCTTTTTCTGAAAGTTGAACAAATATTCTAAGATTATATATTGCATTTGTTACATTCTTATTTCTTATGGATTTGTATAAAAATGCCGTTTACACGGAAACAAGACGTGTTTACTTCAATAGAAAAATTTTGCAAATTAAATGTTCAACGTTTGTAGAAATGAAATATATGTATTCCACTCTGTTTTTAAGGAATTTTATGATGATCGTTGCCACCAGTGTATGTTTGGTTGCCTAAAAGTCGCGGTCATGTGGGACTTGGACATTTTACAAAGGCACCGTATAATAATAATATACAAGCCCCCTACCGCATAAACCATTGATGTCTAAGTGGCTATTCATGATTAAAATAAAAAATAAAGAAATTTGAATACAATGGATGTATTTGTTTTAATAGGAATATTTTTCATCACTTGCAAAAAAAAAACAATTTTTTCCTACCTTTCCGTTTCCGACATTCGTTTCCCACAGAAGCACTGAAATAAAAAAACGTTTAAAAAAAAACTACGAAAACTGTGTTTTCAACCCTTTATTATACACAATATTGATATCTCCATTCATACAAACGCGTACCAAATTAAAAATCAATCAATAAAAAATAAACGTGCACTTGGAAACTATTGAATTATAAAAGCCTATTTGATAGATCTCCTATTTGGTTCGCTCGCCGTCGGAGGCGGAGGCGGGCCTCTTCTATCCAACTCCTCCAGGTAGTTCAGGATCAACTGCGTCCGCTCCTCCGGGATGTGGTCCAGGACCAAGTAACGTTTGTCGTTCTTCAGGATGTCCTCGATCTCCTGCATGTGTCCCTGGTTCTCCCTTAGGGTCTGCAGGGACTTATGCGTGATCAGTTTGGTCTCCTGCAGGAGTTCTTTGAACTGGCCCTTGGCGGTGATCAGCTTATCTTTCAAATAGTCTTTGAACTCCCGCTCGCACTAAAAAAAAGAGTATTTTTATTACAATAACTAGGGTGGCCCAAAAAAAAATGAGTATTTTTTTTCGTGTCTCTTGTGAAAATATGTTAGTTTATTATGTTTTAAGAGCCCCCTCAAAGAATCAGCTCAAAAAAAATTTCTTAGAGGTCGCTCAACATTTTTAAAAATTTCCAAAATCGTCAAATATTTTTTTTATAATTTTTTTCTCTTTATTTTATCATTTTCTAGGTTGAAAAAAATATCGATTCTGAAAATTTTAAATCGATATTTTAATTTCTAAAGGTCACTCATAATTATTTTAACTTTCAATGTAGTGACCTAAAATGTTTTTGAGCGACCTCTAAAAGATAAATATCAACGAACTAATAATTTTTTTATTGAATTTGATGAACAAAAGAGTAGAAATAAATCACGACACATAGATTTAAAAAATTTTAAAATTATAAATATTTAATACAGTGCGGTAGTAAATATTGCCTCAAGAAATTTTTTAAGTGTCTCGTGATTTATTTCTATTCTTTTGTTCATCAAATTCAATAAAAGAATTATTAGTTCGTTGATATTTATTTTTAGAGGTCACTCGAAAATATTGTAGTAGATACACTACTTTGAAAATTAAAATAATTATGAGTGACCTTTAGAAATTAAAATATCGATTTGAAATATTCAGAATCGACATTTTTTCCAACTTAGAAAATGATAAAATAACGAGAAAAAAAATTTTTAAAAAATAATCAAATTTTGATGATTTTAGAAATTTTTAAAAATCTTGAGCAACCTCTAATTTTGAGCTGATTATTTGAGGGGACTCTTAAAACGTGATAAACTAACATCTTTCGACAAGACACGAAAAAAAAATATTCGTTTTTTTTGGACCACCCTAACGATTACGCAGAATGGCGAAATGTAACTTTCTAAACGGAAAACTAGACTATAAAATTTTCGACGCACTGAATCCGATTTCGATGAGGAAAAGAAATATTTGAAAGACTCCATAACACTTTCTTCACGAGTTTTGTGGAGAAAAATTACCTCGTGATGTAACATAACCTCCAATAATAAGCGAAAAATTGCATCTTTCGCACTTTCAGGTTACATGATGTAATGGAGCAATTCTGAAGTCGCAATCAGATTTATCGCTTCAAAAACATTCCAGGTAAGGTTTTTAAGGAAGGAAAAATTTGAAAAGTTGCCTGGAATTGGAAAATTAGGGAACAACTGATTGTGCTTATCACAAACAAATTTATTGAAATTTGGACAGGATGTCTGTCAGGTCAACTACAGTAGGATCATATTCGATGCAAAGTAATAAATCATTGCCTGTCAAGGGATCCAGTGCAGTACGGTTTTAAGGGGTTTAGAAATTGAATAATTTCTTTATGCATTATGTAGGGATCAGTTCACGTCTGGCACCCTTGTTCCTACAAAAATTCCTTTTGCTTTGATAAAAGGCCGACAGTATTTTGCTCTACTTTGCACCGAATACGATCCTACTATAGTAACTAATAAGTTTGCAGGCTTCTATTTTAATTCATAACACATCCAGCGTAATAAACACGAAATTGCATTATTTATTCAAGGAATTACAAATGCGTTTTTTTTTAATGACATCGCAAACTGGTTACATCATGGAATATTATGCGGGTCCAGAAATTTTACTTTGCTGACAATTTGAGGATTTTTCTTTGAGTTTCAAGGATTTTTTTTTACTTCGTAGATGTTTTTATAACCAGCAAAGGGGGTTTAATTTTTTTAGGCTAATCCAAGTATAATTTAAACAAAAAATGTCGAAACATTTAAAAATGTTCTTTTTCATTTACGGGAATGACCTATTACCTTTATTACAACATAAATCATGAAAAAACGAAAAATACATGAACGGAAATTGATAAAAAAGATTAAAAACAATTTTAGAGCAAAGAAAGAAATCAGAGCAATAAACGTTGAACAAAAATGATAAAACCTCCTCAGCTGAACAATAAATAATGATTTACCGAAAGAATACTGTAATTTTCGACTCACCCTTTCGCTGGAGGCAAACTTGGAATACCTAGGATCGTCCCTGATGATCTTCTTGATCTCCTTCCAGCTGCTGACCAAGGACACCTCGGGGGTCTCGTCCAACAGTTCCCGGAAGTTCTGCCGTTTCCTCTTGATCAGCTGCTCGATATGTTCGTTGAATAATTTCTCTTTGTCCTCCCTCCCCAGGCTGTCGGCCAGGTCCCACCTGTGGTCCTTCCTCAATATTCTCTTCACCTCCCTCCAGCTCAGGTCGGAATTTCTCACCAAGTCCGACAGCAAGGCATTGAAGTGCTAAAACAAAGAAGATATATCCCTGCAAACCAAGACAACTCCTTAACTCACCTGAATGGCTTCGTCCCTTTTATGCTGCTCTCTCTCCTTATCTCTGTCCCTCATGTGGGTGGCAAGGGTCCTTTGCACCTCCTTTTCTCTTTCTCTCAGACTGGCCTCGGCTCGGGCCTGTCTGTCCTTCTCTCTCTTATCCTGAGCTTTTTCGTCATCTGTTTCGCCTTTTTCAGGTTCCTAAAATTAACAATAATTATTAAAAAACACCTCTTAAATTCTTGAGGCGTAAATATTGTCACTGTTACACTTTCGCATCACAATTTTATCTAACACATCCATACTTACTAGCCGAGTAAATGAATTAAATGAAAATCAGACCAATAGTTATGTAATAAAAGGGCTATGAGATACATGAAAAATTCCTAATAGATTCTAAAAAACATCCCCAAATATTCCAGAATGGCCGGCAAAATTGCCAAATTTTGACCCAATTGACCTTTTTCTTAAATATCTCGGAAACACTGGAATACAAAAGCAAAAAACTCACCTCCACCTCCCTTCCAGATGCCTCTTCCTCCTCCTCCTCTATCTTGGACTCCTCCCTCTCCTTCTCGCGTTCCTTCTCCTTCTTCTCCTTGGAATGGTGGCGGTCCCTGTCCTTGTCCTTCTTCTTGTGCTTCTCCTTCTCGCGGCGGTGCTCACGGTCCTTCTCTTTCGCCCTCTTCTTCTCCTCCTTGAGGATCTTGCAGTACTCCCTGAACCAGTCCTCTCTGAGGCCGTGCGATTCGACTGCCTTGTACCGGGCGTCAGAGTCAACCTTACGTTTGACGTCTGACCAGTGGGAATGGCGGTCAATGTCAGAATGTTCGCGAAGCATAGCGATAAAGTCTTTCTTTACCTGCAAAACATTCGTACAATTTATATTCGGTGGGTTACTGTGGAACAGACGTTAAAATTATCTTAATATGTTAAGTCAGAGTTGAAAAAAGGCTGGCTGGCGCGTTCGTCTCTACCTGAAAGGAATTTTTGGTTATTATATACTTAACAGCTAAGAAGTCTTGTTAACACAGCTGAAATAAAGTTCATTAGTAGGTACTAGTTAAACACATTTCTGTTGATTTAATGAAATTAGTGTTATTTTCACAGAAATATGTACAGATTTGCTGTAGTGACACAATAAAATTGGACATCCTGGGAAAATGCACCCCAATCCTAGTAAAAAAAAAAATAGCTGAAAACAAAGGTTATATCTTTATATATACACACTCAGTTGTTTTATAATCTCTATTGCACTCAAAAATGACTCTAAACTTTCTCAAAATCTGTTACTGACTGAGGTTTACTTAAAGAGAGAGAGAGAAAAAGGTATCTGATCTGAATGAATACAATACTTATATAGTTTTCATTTTGAGGAACAACTAACTTGTAGGTTTTAGTACCGTCAAATAAAAATAAGCCCCATTGGTGACAAGGAGCGGCGAGTGACATTGACACATGGGATGACCTCGTTCACGCGATGACCCGAGCCTTCCTTACTGGATGAAACAACACACGAGCCTCGCACCACACCTCTTGAAAAAGTAATGAAGCTAGATAAGAGACTTATGATTTACAATTTTGTCATACATGTTTGTTTCTTAATGCAATAATATTCACTATGTACTAAGCCTAACTGCAATCTATCTAATTCCTGGTAATCCATCCCATCGAAAATTGGAATGAAATACAAAATTAGCTTGCAATGTTTTACCGTTATGTCTACGACTGAAAGTTATAGAAAACGCTGGCATAAGCATATGTAGAAAAATGTTTTCTATGAGGCTAGGGCTCCTTGAAGGTGAGCCCTTGTCAGTTATTTTTTCAGATATCTTCAAAAAACTTCAAAACTTTACCTTCGTGCTAATGATAAGCAGAAAAATGCCCTCTATGTGGCTAGGGCTCCTTAAAGGTGAGCCCTTGAAAGTTGTTTTACGGATATTTCGAAAAATCTTAAAAACTTTACCATTGCGTCTTACGACCGAAAGTTATAGAAAAAGTTTGTATGAGCATAGGTATAAAAAATGGCTTTTATCGCACTAGACCTCCTTAAAAATGAGTTGTTGTTGAGAGGAAAATGTTGCAGATAATAAAAAGAACATATAAGTAAATTTTAAAATCAGGGGCATTCCAAGGAGATTGCACAGCTACTTAAGCAAATACAAAGTTAAGGAGAACCAGTAAAGTGTAGAAAATTATACAGGGTGTAAGAAGTTTGACTACCATTGCTTCAGCATGAGATAGAGTAATCATAAATGAACAAAAAAGTTGTATATTAACAGTTTTCAAAATACAGCAAGTATTTATATTGGCGAGTGACGTGATAACAGCGCTTAACCTAACGCTACACAACTGGTGCATACGACGTGTGCACACGGCAGACTTGTCCTACGGAAAAAATGTAAACAACTATTATTGTGAATCATTTAGTAAATTTCAATACAATTGTTTTCCAGTTTTTAAATAAATAAAATAAAATGTATCGATTTTGTAGTACGAAAATAGTGTTGTGCTCAAATTTTAGCTCGAATTTTAGTAATTACGAATCCCTTAAAACAGAACTTAACATTTAATCAAATTATGAATTTGAAAAATATGTAATTAAAGTACCCAGAGATTTGCGTCATCCAAATAATCATATGTATTAAAAATAATTTAGGTACTTACCAAAAAAGCAAAATTCAGTAATTTTTAAATGCACAAGTACAAAACAAATTGAAACATATGCTCAAAATGTCCACCACCATTTTCGATGCATGCACGACACCTTCGAATCCAATTTTCGCGCACACGCTGGAAAACACCTCAAAAAAAGTAGTGATACGCAAAAAACACTCAGACACTGTTCAATTCCATATACCAACTGAATTGTGTATTGGTGGTTGCTGGACACCTTAGTACCTTATGTTAATAAACTGCCGCGTCGTTGTCACATTGCTCGATAGGAATTTTATCGAATTTTAAATTTATTATGTTAATTATTTTTTGGAATTAAGTGTGAAGAAGTTCAAAAAAGTAATACATTGTATTTTATGGTATTCTATGCACGCGGTTATGTCAATATTCCTTAATTAATCGAACTTTTGTACATCAAGTTGGAGATTTTGATATTTGTTTTCCTGGAAATGGTCGAGTTTAGGACCCATGTCATATAAGATTTTTTTGTTTATTTTAATGTATTCTATCGTCTGTTAAAATTAAGGCAGTCAAACTTCTAACATCCTGTATAATAAACTTTATATACTTTTTATCCTCAGATTGCAAACAAAAATTTTTTATCAGACTATTTCCTAAAAAACTCACTTATATATTTTTGTCAAATAAAATCATTAATAATTTGCTTCAGGAGAACTTAATTTCTAAATTTATTTTGATGAAAAAATTAGAGAAACATCTACAAAATCCTTGGCAAAAATTTATTTTTAACCTAGATTCACTATATAACAATACTCACAATCAGTTTCAGAGATAGACAACTTTAAAGGACTGTAGTTAATGGGCTTGTTAAGAAATAAACGTTTTCTCTTATTTTCAAGTGTAGCATGTGCCGGTAAAACATTTCTAACTAATTTCCAAGCACCTTGTATATCAGAATATTTTTGGTCTCTCGACTATTTAAAGAGTGACCGCAAAATCCGCTTGTTTTTGAGACTGACAAGAGGCGACAGGAAAAATCCTAAAAATATCCAAAAAATCGTCATGAAAAATGAAAATGAGCAACACTTTCAGTTTTTCGAAAATTTTCAAAAATCACCCCTATTTAGTTTGAAAAGACAAAAAAAAGTGAACAAATTAAGAATCATCAACAGTTGTGAAACTTCAAATATTTCTGTTATCAAAATAATATTTTTTCATATTATTTACAATTTTTGTATATTTGGGGGATGATTTTATCCCTTGAGAGGGATGATTATTTTTGAAAATGATTGATATGGGAGTACTTGTGTATAAATTATTCTAATGAATGTATTTCGAAACATTATTTTTTCATGCATTATAATTATTTTATGTACTTTTAAGGTGATGGTTGAATTTAGGGGTGGTTTTACCCTCATTTAGGGGTATTTTCCTGCGGATCTAGTGATTGTCGGTTATTAACGGTTCAATTATCACATATAAAAGAAAAAGAAAAAAATTATAACTTTTAATATATTTTTTGCATTTTTAGGCGCTTAGGGAATGATTTCACCCCTTTAGGGATATTATGGGTTGATTTTCAATCCAGACAAAACCGTATCAAATAATAAATTAGATATTTTCACGTTCATAATATTATTTTGATAACAACATAGAAATATTTGGGGTTTTACAACTGTTGATGATTCTTAATTTGTTCACTTTTTTGTCTATTCAACCCCTAAATAAGGGTGATTTTGGAAAATTTTCAAAACACTGAAAATAATGCTCATTTTCATTTTTCATGACGAGTACTTGGATATTTTTAGAATATTTTTAGGATTTTCCCTGTGGCCTCTGTCAGTCTTAAAAAAATGGCTTTTTTCTGCTGTCATTCTTTTTGTATGGAAAAAGTGTCGACCCGTATCGTATGTTTGTAAACTAGCACATACAAAGCTATTTATAAAAGCATAGGCATGACGAAAACAAAGATAGGTTGCACTTAGTAAATATGTTGTGCAAAGACTTAATGGCATAATACATTTTACATTAATTCTAAATGTCAATCTAAAGAAATAAGGTTTATATAAATCAAAAGGAATATTTGCTGTGGTAACGATTACTTTGAATTGGTATTAGTTATTACTATACCAGTGCATTGTAGTATTAGGTGAGAAATACTCAATGCTTGTACTTCAAAATTCGCTGCCTCAGCAGATATACCCTTTCATTTGTGAACAAGGTACATAGTGTTTTCCCTTTTTCAGCGAGTGTCAAATATGCAGTATAAACAACGAAAAATAACCTGCACTATTTAAAAACTTTATACTTGGATGTTTAAAAAAAAATCTAAATCAAAAAGGTTACTAATTGCAGATTTATCGGAAAACAAGCAAGTAAAAATAAGTTATATTAAAAATAGTTTAGCAAAATAGATAACAAGCAGAAAAGTAACTATGGCAGTGTAGAATGGAGACAACATCCGTAAAAACTGTTCCAACTTTTACAAATTTTTGACTCAATAAACTGATCATGTACAGGGTGTCCCACTAAGGTCGGCGAGGTACGATATTAGGAAAAGTATAGGCCTTAGAGCTCCGGGAAAAAAATTTCATTGAATAAATCGACCAAGAGAAATGGATGGAAATAGTTTTCAAGTTCATAGCTAGGTCGCTAGGGGGCGCAATCTACATATCAAACCAGAGTTGAATTTTTCTTAAAAATGTCCAGGTATATTAAATAGTACACATATGGATAGCCGGATTCATTGCGCATAACTTTTGTTATTGGCATTTTGTTCTGTCGCTCGACAGAAAGGGTGGGGAAAGCCCCTAATTTCTGATCAGAAAAATTTTTTTAAGGATTCGCTCAACATAGTGTTATCGCTATAAAAGGTCCTTTCATGCTTTATCGCGTGGTGAATGCGTAATGTCATTTACCTCAATACGGAAATCTATAGATGGCGTTATTTTAAAAGAATGCCGTTTTATAGATTTTTCTCAAAAATTAAAAATGCAAAGCTATAGTTTTCTTTACATAAATGAATTCAGCACAAAAAAATTGATGAATATAGCATAAGTTTAAAATTTCCAATGAGTGTTGTTTAAATGGTAGGTATAGCCGAATTTGTTATTTATTGGCGCTATTTATCCAAGTTTAGATTGTTTTAGGTTTTTTCAAAAAAGTGAAATAGCAGGATAAAACTTTTATATGTTAGTTTGAAGAAAAACAGCTACATTTTGACGCCAAATATCGATATTGTTCAATATTCGTTCAGTATCGGGTTCGATATCTTTTTTTGTTGTCGAGTTATTTGAGAAATAATTCCATTTCAAATAAAGATAAATTTTATGTGTCCATAAATATTTAAGTTATTATTATTATATCACTGTGTAAATAAAACAAGGCAGGAATGGTGCCTGCATCATGGACAGACTTACATTTCGTTTCTCCATCTAAAAAAATTGAAAACGCCTTGTTGAGACTATGCTTAATAGGTTAATAAATAATATTAAAAGGTTTCTTCACTGTATTGTAATAAAGCAATAATAAAATGTTTTTATGAAACATTTTTATAGGACTTGTCAATGTAAACGATGAAAATCACACATAAAAGAACTAGACCCTTACAGTTGCTGTACCGGGTATTTTTATTTAGACTAGGCGGTATCTGTTTTGGTTTGGGTGAATCGTATATCCACGGAGATTTTTGGCTTTTTGGCTTTCAAATATCACTAGAAATGAAAATTCTTCTATGCACATAAAAAAAAATGTGGGCTTAACTTTTGGCGGCACAATATATTAAAAAAATTCAAAAAATGTCATATTTTTCTGCCTATTTAATTATGTATCTTTTCAAGAGTTAATTTTAGGCGAAAATGGAAGAGAAAAAAAAGTGTAATTAAATTTTTTATAAAATTTGACTAGTTACAAATCGAATGAATCATGATCATTATTGTAAAAATCGAAAAAATCGCCAAAAATGGGGTTAAAAAACATTACATTTTAGGGAATTTTTTGGTGTCTTTAAATTGGGTATAGGACCTTTATACAGTGTAACCTCCATTATCCAAACAGGCCTTTATCCGAATATCCACTTAACCGAACGGAAAAAAACGCAAGATATTATCCGAACGAGCCTCGTTTATCCGAACTGGATGGCCGCGGAGCTCGGGTGATATGCGAAATTTGCTGCCGCGCTTGCGTGTGCGACTAGGTTTTCGTCTCGCCCGGCTCAATCGCGGTGGAAGATGTGATAGATTTAATGACTGACAATGACATCTTGCACAATATAGAGAATGTGGAAATAGCCGAAGAAGAAAATGAGACCGAAGGAGCTGCCGACAACAAAATAACTCATGGAGAAGCCGTGCAATGTTTTGACAAATGTATAACGTGGGCCAGTGATAATGGCGAAACGTCTCACAACATATTTCTTTAAAAGGAGATGAAGATTAAAGCCAGAAAATTAGAAAGTAAATCCCTTTCACAAAGAAAAATAACGGATTTTTTTAAATAAAATATGTTTAAGTATGTAGTTTATTAACTTTTTTTTTGTACATATATTTATGTATACATACTTTAATATGTAGTTTAATAAGTGTTTATGTCTTTATTTTTTTTTTGTATATGTTTTTCCATATTATAATTACAAACTTGAAGTATTAAAAAAGGTTTTTAGAAAAATAACTGTTTTAATTTTAAATTTGATTATCCGAACAAATTGATTAACTGAACAAGACCTTACAATAATTAGTTCGGATGATGGAGGTTGCACTGTACTTGGCTCAAGAAAACCTCATTTTATGTAGAATCATCACACGAAATTTCATCAAAACCGGTTCGATAGATTTTACATAGAGTAAAACTCGATTATAGCGAGCATTCACGGGAACGCAAAATTTGCTCGTTATACGCGAGTGCTCGTTATAGACATCGCCGTCGCCAACTATGCTGAAAATTATTGGATACATAATTATAGCTGCATTGCACTTGTATTTTTATTTTCAAACATATAATATTATTTATCTACATAACATAGATACGCATAACTGTAGGTAAGTTACATTACATAGTATTTATTATTAACGAAAAAATTCTGTAATATTTTTCTGCACCACTCTTTTGCTTAATATCTTCTGACTGATATTTCTTTGCAACCGATCAGCGGCATTTAAGAACTGCTCGTTTTCCGGATATTTGAATTCGACGTATGATACTATGGTTTTTAACGCAGAGATGGCTTAATGTGTCGAAACAACTGTAACCTCATCGCTTCCCGTCTCTTCTTCATCACTTTCTTCATCTATTGATGGGTTAATCGCTAATTGTGTAATTTGAATTTCATTTGGGAATTCAGCCACTTCGAGATTTTCGTCTACCATGTCGTACTGAACTAAGTCAAAGACGTCAAAATCGGATATGTTGTTATTTCTACTAGTCATAACAAGTTTTTGCGTTCATTTGATGTCATGTGCTTCTACGATAACTGGTTACAGCCGAGCTCACTGTTTACGATAACTCATTATAGCTGAGATCACTGTTGCGCGGGACCAAAATCAAAGCTCGTAATAGCCAAGCCCTTGTTATATACGAGTTCGTTATAGCCGAACAAAAATACACATGTTACATAGGGAATTCGGAAGGGACATTTCAATTTGTTCATTATAACCAAGTGCTCGTTATATCCCCTGCTCGTTATAAGCGAGTTCAACTGTAATTTTGAAATCCAAATTTTGAAACAAATTTTGCAAATTTTCAAAATTTTGCACAGCAAAAACCAAGCGCCTTAGATACTTGAAAATTTAATCACATATAGAAGAGCTCTCAAGCGTTCGAACGCTTTTTGAAAAATTCGGATCTGTCAATTAGGAGAGCTCTGGCGCTTGTTTAAACATGGTCGAATTTTTGTACTTATAAACAATTAGAATAACTTTGTGAATATTCAATCAAATCTAATTTTTTAAAGCAGATTTTAAGTTATTGGAAAGACGCTTCTTTAAAAAAAAAAACAGATCGATTGGTCAATTAGTTATGTAGTTAAAGCCCATCAAAATTAACCGTCATTTAAACTAAATGTACTGGGATAATTTTTCGAAAAATACCTTTGGTATTCCAATTCAATTTCGAGCAGGCCGAAGCGGCTACGCTCTGCTACCCCCACCACCACTACCCTTACGATTTTCTTGAATTTCTCGCTTGCATAAATAACATTAAACACATTTTAAAGTAATTTTTTCCTCTTCCATTTTCGCCTAAAATAACTTCAAAAAATACATAATTTAATAAGAAAAATATGACATTTTTCGAATTTTTTTAACATATTGTGCCGCCAAAAGTTAAGCCCACGTTTTTTTTTATGTGCATAGAAAAATTTTCATTTCTAGTAATATTTGAAAGCCAAAAAGCCAAAAATCTCACCCAATTATTGACTTTTTGAAACAGATACCGTATGGACTAATTGTGTTACCGAATCTTTTGTTCAATCTGATAATGAACACATTTCAATTATTTTGGCAGAAACATGTACCCATGTGACCATTACTACAAAACCGCGGCGAACTGGACTCTTACAGCTGCTGTACTGGGTAATTTTATTACATCAGTTTACTGGATCAAAATTTGATAAATGTAAAACTGTTTTAACCTTGATCAATTCCGATCGATAGTATGATTTTTTGACCGATTTTAATCTGATGGATCAGCAGAAAATTTCTGTTTTCAAATGTTTTTTTTTTTTGTTTTGTAGACCCTCAAGCTGAAATTAAAATTTAAATTAATATAGAATATTTTTTTACTTACCTTAAAGTATGAGTGACCATTTATACAATCCAAATAAAACCTCAACTACTTACCATTACCAAATTTACCTAGCAAATTATAAACAGGTACAATGAGGCATATTCCGAAGGAACGGAGGACAGTTTTTCGTCAATTTTTTTATGCGGTATAGAAAAAAAACTGTCCCGGGAACTTCGGATACTTTGAATATGTTGCAATCGCGTAAAATTAAGTCTTTGACAACTAGTACTTAAACTCTGTCCTAAATCTAAGAAAAAAAAAATCACATTTCTTACAATGGAACAAATTAAATAATGCCATAAAATATCAGATAACAACTACATACCGAGTAATGCTGAAAACCCTACGATTATTATTTTTTATTATGCACTCAAATCCTGAATAAGAAAGAAATTGTCGTGACGTTAACAATTCGAATCCCCATTTACATTTTCCTTCGTTTCCAATACAGAAATGTTCATTTACAACTCTTTAAACTCCCATTGGAATTCGACAATAAAAGGGTGCCTCAAGGAACAATAACAGGCCCTTCACAAATTTCGCTACACATAAATGACAATTGATCGTTTTTTTTTAAGCTGAACTATTAACAATTTAATTATTTTTACGTCGTGCAAAACGTAAATGAACAACTCGAATCGCTACGTCCAATTCGAATGTGTTTTAATGAAATGCAACAGGCAACACTGTCGTCCCAAACAGAACACGTGTTGCCTGTTTCATATGCATTAAAATCAGCGTGTTCCAACAAGCAAATCTCACTTACCATCTCCCGTCGCTGGTTCTTCTCCTCCTTCTCCCTCTTCCTCACCTCGATCAGGTACTCGTTGAACAGGCTCTCGCGCTCCCGCATCTTCTCCACCCCCTTGAAACGCTCGTCTTTCGCGTACTTCTGGGCGAAATCGCTAAACGAAGACCTGCGGAAAGGAAAAATTTCGCTACACGGTGACCCCCTCGCTTACCAGATTTCGTGCCAATAGAGTTTTCAGTAATTACTTACTTGCCGTGCAAATGCGACTCGCCAAGTAACTTCCGGAAAGCGTCCTTCTTCTCTCTCAACTTATTCCTCTTCTCCCTCCGTTCCTCCTCGGCCCTCTCCTTCACGTACTTCTCGAACACCTGCTTCCGTTCCTTGGACGTCAACAGGAGGTACCTCGGATCGAACACGATCTTGTGCAACTCTTTTTCCCAGGTACTGAAAGCCGAGACCTGCTTCTCGGCCAGCATCTCTTTGAACAGTTTTATTCTGGTGTCAAGAGGTATGACGGCCCTCTCTTTGGCTGCCCGCACTTCGGCCTCTATGGCCGCCTCCTTTCCGATGTCGATTTTCTTGGCAGACGTGGGCGTTCCGTTTGCACCTGAGGAAAATATTTTAGCGTGCGTTAATTTCGCTACGAATGATCTGCGTGGTCTGGAGTGAGACGACATCCATGAAATGACGAGATCAATGGTACCAATTAAAGAGAATAGAAAATTGAAAGACGAATCCGAAAATATCATAATTGTTACCGTAAAGCAGTGGCGTACTATTTTATTTACAAAAATATGCCAGCGATACCCTGTATCTCCTCCACTGGAACATCTAAATTTTAGATAAAGCCTCAGATTTTGGTCAATGTTTACATACATGTGCCAAATTTCAAATTACATATTTCACTTAGTAGTTTTTAATTATTTAAAAAAATTAATAATATTTTTCTAAGTTTAACACCCTATATCTTTTTAACAAAGCGTCCTAGAAAAAACTTTATAGGAAAGACTGCCCTTAAAATGCACCAAAGAATATGAGGTGTCATTTTTGATCACCGTTTATGAATCACACTGTATATAAAATCTATAAATGTAAATGAGTCTAGTTAGTTATTTTTCAAAATCACAAATTTTTACAGAAATATTACTTTTTTTTAATGAAGTACTTTGAAAACCTTGGAAGGTTACACTTTATACTTTTGCATAAACAAATTACAAGTTTGCCAGGTCATGTGTCAAGAAAATTATTTAGAATAAGCTCGACGAAACTCGTTTTTATGGGAAATAAGATGGTAGTGACAAATTTCCGGAAAAGTTTAAATGATTTCAGCTTTTTCACAAATTCGTAATTCGTGACAGAATTCAAACCTAACAGAGTAGTGAGGTTCTATGATTTACCTTTCCACAAACATGAATATAAAGAATTATTTAATTTTTTAATTAAAAATTGGTTGAAATAAACATATTTAAGGGACAAAATTTTAGAAATGTTAGAAATGAGACCTTCGACGCCCAGAAATTATTTCAAGATGAATAACGATTTTGACATAATTTATAATGAAAAATGATGACAAAGAATAATTTTAGGTAAAAATTCCCTACAATTTTTCTGTCATCATTTTCATATGAACAAAATTTCATACAAAAGCTATTTTTTCATTTTCGCAAAAGACGCTTTAATCCCATAAATCGTTAAATTTACTACATGCTGTAACACATTCAAGTTTTAAAAATAGTCCCTAACTGCAGCTAAAAGTAAATAAAAATGAAATTATGCTGAAATCCCAACTCCAATTTTAAATTTATAATAAAACAATTGAAAAATTAATTTAAAATGTAATTTTGCACCATTTATAAAAGCAAATCTGTTAAATTACCCAAAAAAATAAATTAATTTAACCAACAAACGCTTATCTAATTATTGTAAAATAAGGAAACAGTTAGTTATAGTCCTTCCGATCTCAATTGAAGACCAAAGAGCTAGGCAGTATGTATCAGGTTCGGTCGCTACACAGCAACTCGGCATTAAACATGGAGGTAGAAATGTATACGACCAGTTGAAGAATGCGCGTGCGGGCAAACGGCGCACAAATACAGCCGCACTGGGCGACCGGCCATAAATTTCAGTTGTTGACAAATTGCCTAGCAGTGCAATGCAGCAATGCAGAATTTGGTGATTCGGATAATTTAATTTAAGCAGAAAACTTTTTTAGGGACGCCTATGAAACTCATTCAATTTTATTGTTAGACATTTTTATACATGTTCAACTGACTTCGAAAAGACTGTACAACAACATACATTTAGTCAACAACCTGTCAAACTAAAGTTGCCATAGTCTTCCCATCCACATAAACACAGCAACACATAATAATTAATTTAGAACAGGGAACTAACAACCGGAAACACAAAAACCGACACTTCACTGGCTTTTATAGTAGATACAACACATCTGACTACAGCGCATTCAAATTTATTTAAAAATAATAATTATAATAAACAAATATTAAGTTTAAGGTTAGAAATATGTATTTACAGATTGATTCTTAAGTAAATTTCGTGTTTACCGCAACGCTCGTCTCGAAAATAGTATGAAAAAATTTTGTAACGAATAAATAAGATTATTTTAGGATTTAAAAAAAAATTATGGTACTTACTTGGTGTGGGTGTTTGAGGGTCTTCCTTTCTAGCCTTCTTGGCTGGCGTCTCCTCCTGGTCGCTATCGCTGTCGTCCGAGGTCCTCTTCTTAGGTGGTGTCTTAGTGATGTCTGGCTTAACACTGCCGAGAGCGTCGGGAGGGTTGGAAACCATTTTATCTACGTCGGTACGTTTCAGTAGTTCATCGGGTCTCTCCCAGACGGACGTCCTCGACGAAGGGTTGTAGAAGAACACTCTCCCATCCCCCGTCCAAACGACACACCTGAAAAGTTTTTTAAAAAACGACAATAGTGGGAATGCTGGGGGCACAAAGATTAAACTTACCAAGGCGTGCCTGGCACCGGCGTGCTCGAGATGGGCCTGGACTTATCCTGCGCCTTCAGCTCCTTCGCCTTCTCCTCTTCCTCCTTCTTCTTTTTGATCTCCTCCTGCAGCTTCTTGATCTTGTCCTCGTTCTCCTTCTCGACCGCTTCCTTCGTCACTTCGCCATTGGCAGGCGCTATCTGCACCACATTTGCCTTACCTGTATCGGGTCCCGTCGTGAGCTGCGGTTCCAGTCCCGGCCTTGTCGATATACCCTGCGCGGCCGCCAGTTTCGCAGCTTGAATAATTCAAAATAGGTAACGAAAAAGTCTGTTTATTTCTTGATTTAATTTTGACGAGTTTGAATTTTCTATATTTTTTTTAAAGACGCATAAAAGAAATTGACTTACAGCTGCCATACCGGGTATTTTTATTATATGACCCAATTTTTAAGTTTGGTGTGTGTAGCGTATAAGAAAATGTCGATAATTGTGCAAACAGTAAAATATTTTCACAAACAACCATGAAAAATATTAAATTTTTAATTAAAAAAAAAGAACCTAAAGTCACTCACTTTCCAAGTCCTTTAGAGGCTGCGGCTTCTCCCAAACCGACTCCCCCTTCTTGGCGTTATAATAGTAAAACCTCCCATCGGGGGCCTTGTGTTCCGACCATTCCGATGCCCGGGCTATTATTTCCGGGTCGATTTTGGACATGACTGCCGCCTCGTCGATTGCCGCCGCTGCCCCTGGCATACCTGGAATAAGACCTGGAGGCAAAGCCCAAGGCGCGCCGGGTGGCGCCCCGGGCCAACCAGGTCCGGGTTGACCGGGCCACGCACCTTGAAATCCTGGAGGGGGCATTCCGAAAGGCGGTGCCGCGAATTGCCCGGGTGGTCCGAACGGGTTTAAGCCCGGAGGCGGGCCTTGGAGGAGACTGTGGGGTGGGGGGATTTGAGTCGGCGTCGGGGCAGTGGCCATCTGAGGCGGTTGCTTCAGGGATTCCTGTTTGGATTCCTCCGAGTCTAGAATTGTCGCAAAGAAACAGTAAACAACACTAACAAAACAGTTATTAGATAGTTGTTATTATTTAGTTGAAAACTAATTTTACCGATTTTTAAATCATCTTCAAAACAAGTTATAATCTTTACTTATTGCAAAGTATGAGACCATTTGTGTATATTATAAGAATAATTGAGGACATGTAAACTTATCAATTATTAAGTGAAACTTAGGTGGACCCTGCATTACCCCAATTAATCAACTTATCAACTGTTTACAATGCAATAACAGGTCAAGGCCAGTGTGGTTAATTGCTCGGCATGCGCACAGAAGTGTTTCTTTTTCTCCTGCTTTACTGGATGGGTCTTTATACATTTTTCAGCAATTTTACTAAAACTACTGGCTGATTGGCCGATAATTTCAAATTTTGTTTGTTATCTGCGCAGTGAAAATATTTACCTTCTTGTTTATTTGTTACGTTAGCCTGGGCCAGCGCAGCCTGTGCGGCAGTCGAAGTGTTCTGGGCCAATCCGCCCGTCGCTGCTTGGGCCATGGCTTCCACCTGATCCTGAGAGATTACTTTCACATTAGGGCCTTCTGGCTTAGTCCATGTCGTTTCTCTAGTACGAGCATTATAAAAGTAAGACTTGCCTTCTGCCGTTTTGGTTTCTACCCAGATTTCGCTGTTCGGGTCAATTCCCTATAAAGCATAATTTTTTCAATTCTCTGGAATAACATTCAACACTTTTGGGAGATTTTTTAGTAATACGGTTTGGGCAAACAGTACATGCTTGATCTTTGAAAAAAATTTACAGCATCTCGAATATTTTGTGTCATTTAAAAAATACATAGCATTTTTAATTTTTAACTGTTCTTTTTTTTTGTGATGTCAAGTAACCTATAAAATCTTTGAGGAATATAATAAATTACAAGAAAAAAGTGGCATTAACATTGACAATTATAAAGAAACTAAAAATGTAAATAAATAAGTAAAAAGCAACGAAAAAATAAAAATTTAAAAATGACAAACCTAAAAGTAAAAATAAATAAATCTTATAGTGAAAAAAAAAAGATAAAAATTGCATAAATAAAAAAGTTAAAAGGACTGATAACATGAATGAATGAAAAATATGTTATGCTTACAAGAACGGTAATGGTATTTTCACACATTCTGAATATTTCAATAACGTAAAATGTTATATGTTGTTTACTAAATCTGTTACTCACCCCAGTGGGCCCTGTGCTAGTTGGGGGAAACTGTCCAGGAGGCCCGCTACCCTGATTCATCTGAGGCGGTCCACCGCTCATATTCGGCGGCCCGCTATTCATATTTGGGGGACCACCCATCATACCTGGCGGTCCAAACGGAGGTCCATTAGGTCCCCCTGGTGGGCCATTAGGGCCACCAGGTCCTCCCGGCCCCATGAGACTTGGAGGCCCGCCTAGAGGACCTGGGGGTCCACCCCAGTTTGGTCCGTTGAAATTTGGCGGTCCATTGAATCCTCCAGGAGGGGGGTTTCTTGGAGGTCCTCCACGTCCAAACATTGGTTGTCCTGGTGGTCCCCCTCTGCCTCCCCTTCCGAAAGGTGGCGGGGGACCACCGGGTCCAAAGCCTCTTCCTCGAAACCTAGAATGCTCGCCACGAGGTCCTGGGCCTCCCGGTGGTGGACCCGGCCAACTTCTCTGCTGGCCCGGTTTAATTCTAAAATGTACGGGATAACTAAATAATTGTGCTTCTTATATGAATTTCACATCAGAAATAAACACTACCTCATTTCATGTCAACAGTCGTTACTTATTTCAGACACGTATATCATATATTACCTACTTCTATAAATAAATTGTTAATCAACTGGAAAACTATGAAAAGAGATCAATTATACTTCAAATATTTGTTAATATTAGTGTTTATCAATAAGTACGACAAAGCAAGATTATGCTCTTTGATCAACATAAAATTACACATGTCACATTTAAAATGTCATACAAAACTTTCATATTTTTTAATAGATACATTTACAAGCAAAACTAAGGTGTGCATATATCGTGTAAATATCATTCACGATCATTTATTTATGCTGCCGATGCATGGCCTAATATCTTAAATAATGAAAAAAAAATGTAAACATTTATACGATATGTAAAAGTAAAGATTACCTACCCGAAACCGCCTCTGCCTCTGCCTCGTTGGGAGAAGTCTTTTCCACTTAAATCGATATCATTTTCGAATCCGACATCTTCCTCGAAGTTTTCCTCAGTCATATCGGGGCCATCGGCCTTATTACTGCCGAAGTCCATTAGTTCTCCATCAGTCATAGTAGAAGTTTTATTTGTACAACTTAAATATATGCTATGATTCTTAAATGACAACTATCATCAATTATTTTCGCTTAAAACAACTAGCGTCCATTAACAAAATCAACTTCAACCTTCAACTACGGCTTGCGATTCACGTTGCGCTTGCGGGATGTGGAGGATTGCGGAGTTTTGAGTTTGAGTTTACATTTATGGTTGACAGTTGGATGCACTGTATTTACGATTGCTTCGGAACAGGAGGTGTATTCCGTAACAGAGAAACATAATCGGTGGGTGTGTTCCACATGTTTCAATACGGCTAGAGCATACGCACATCAAAAGTAGGTTTAAATTTCAATGGATATAGGCACCATTATTAGATCTATGATAGGCATATTATCAATCACGTTATGTCATATATCCAAGAAATTCGCAAATTATGAAATTTAAGTTTTTAGATCTGTTCTAACTAATACTTATATTTCTCAGTCCACACTGTCACACACAGATTACGGAAACAAATTATTCCGTAATTTGTGCTGTCACACACTGTTAGTCACAAGAAATCTGCAAATTACAAAAAATTAATTAAAAATTGATTAATAATTACAGGTAGCAGGACTTATAAGGACTAGCAGGTAACAAACCAGTAAGGTCAATTTGTTTTCGGTTAGAATATAAAATAATTTATGCAAATCGTGTTTTGGCAATAGCAGGTAATCCATTTTAAATTTGTAGATAACATATCATATTGTATACAGATACAGGATGTTTTTAAGTTTACGTTATAACACCAACCCTTTTGGATCAATTTAGACCAAAAAAAATTCAAGTTAAATATCAGTAATGTTTCAATAAATGTGATACCTTTTCCACTTTATCACCTTGTATTCATGGGCGTAGGTAGCTACAATTTTTGTTTGGGGGAAAAAAACAAAAAAACCACTCGCAGTCAGTGATTTACCGATTGATTAAAAAATAGTTTTTTCTAGGGTGGGCACCGCGCGGGCATTCTTAGATGGGCCGTGCACACCCCTGCCCTCCCCCTAGCTACGTCGATGCTTATACTTTGAAAAGGTTTTGGACACCTTTTCGATTTAAAATAATAATTATCCAACAAAACGATTTGAAACACTCTAATCTTAAAAAAATTTTGTGATTGATTTCACTATTGTTCCTTTCGTTAATCCTTATGTTTGTTTTAGGGAAATAAAACGTAAATTTATTCAGGAAATTTTATTTTTAATAGGAAATAGAAATCTAATAATAGTAATATAAAAACAATAGGTAGGTACATACAAAAGTAAGGCAAGTGAACAAGAGGATTATTATTATAAATACAGTCTTAGAGGGAAGTATAATATAAAATAAGTAGGTACGTATTAATTTTCATTTTTTTCTTATAAAAAAATATGTATAAAAAATACAAAAAATAAATTGAAATAGCGAAAGAAAGAAATCCTTATATAAATATATAAAGAGTCTGAAGGATATTTTTAAATTTAAATAAAATTATTTACGTAGAAAATTTGTCCCCTAGAAACTAATCACACTAACGCGATATCGGTCGCATCGCCAATTTCCGTGTATTTCCTAGAATCTACCAGGAAACATTTACATAAAACGCACAACCAAATACAAAATTTATTACACCTAGCAATAACAAAGTTCCTAATCCCTAAATGACCCTAACCAGAAAACTCGAAGATGTACCCATTTCCAAAACTGTTAGCCTTTCCGGGTTCGTCGTCGTATTCTTTCTCGTCGATGGTGTTCGAACTGGCTGAGGGCTGAGGATAGGCTAGTCTCGCTTGGGTGATAGGAGGTAATGGTAACCTGGCCAACTGTAAAACAATAAACAAAGTATCACCAAAGTGTAATACAAATCAATAAAGACATACTTTTTTATAAATAAGTTTTTAGGTTATAATGAAAGTGATGAACAGGTCAACCATATTAAAAAGTACATTTCTTTCTGTTCTGTGGATCTATGAGTGCGACAGGATTTTAAAATTTCTTAGTGACATTGTATATTTGTTTCTTTACATGCAAAATATCTTTCTCATAAATTCCTATGATCCTTATTCTTACTAGTAATAGCACAGAATAAAACGTTATTCTATTCTGGGAGTATCATCTGCAAGAATGAGATATATTTTCTGCAGGGGTCGCCGTCTACTGTTATCAAGTTATCATTATATAGTTTGAATTATTGTCTAACTTTNTCATTTTTTTCTTATAAAAAAATATGTATAAAAAATACAAAAAATAAATTGAAATAGCGAAAGAAAAAAATCCTTATATAAATATATAAAGAGTCTGAAGGATATTTTTAAATTTAAATAAAGTTATTTACGTAGGAAATTTATCCCCTTTTCACGAGTCTCCTAGAAACTAATCACACTAACGCGATATCGGTCGCATCGCCAATTTCCGTGTATTTCCTAGAATCTACCAGGAAACATTTACATAAAATGCACAACCAAATACAAAATTTATTACACCTAGCAATAACAAAGTTCCTAATCCCTAAATGACCCTAACCAGAAAACTCGAAGATGTACCCATTTCCAAAACTGTTAGCCTTTCCGGGTTCGTCGTCGTATTCTTTCTCGTCGATGGTGTTCGAACTGGCTGAGGGCTGAGGATAGGCTAGTCTCGCTTGGGTGATAGGAGGTAATGGTAACCTGGCCAACTGTAAAACAATAAACAAAGTATCACCAAAGTGTAATACAAATCAATAAAGACATACTTTTTTATAAATAAGTTTTTAGGATAATGAAAGTGATGAACAGGTCAACCATGTTAAAAAGTACATATCTTTCTGTTCTGTGGGTCTATGAGTGCAGCGGGATTTTTAAATTTTTTAGACATTGTATATTTGTGCCTTTGTATTGCAAAATATCTTTCTCATAAATTCCCTATCATCTTTATTCTTAGTAGTAATGGTATCATCTGTAAGGATGAGAAATATTTTCTGGAAGAGTCGCCGTCTACTGTTATCAAGTTGTCATTATATAGTTCGAGTGATTGTCTAACTTTATTAGACTTGTTCCTAGTACATTTTAAAGAGTTTGCAAGAGATAAACACAATCCCATTTGTTTTGAAACAATGAATTTTAATCTTTATGGAAGTATATCAGAATGTGCATTCGTCTGATGGTTGAAAACTGTTTTCACGATCAAGAAAGGCAAGCTACTGGCCTTAGTTCTGGTCACGTCTCACAGATGGCAGAGACCATAATTTGTATATACTCCCCGCCATCTAGGAGTCATGGACCAGAATTAATGTTAGTCGTCAAGCTATATTTATTTAACACTGGTTATGCGAATAAGACACCCGGATGACTTACTGGTTGCGGTCTTTCGTAGACGGGCCTGTACTGCCCGTCGTCTTCAGCGCCTGCTCCCTGAAGGTTGTACGCTTGTGGCCTGTAGGCCTGAGGCGCTGCGCTCTGCGCCACCGGTAGGGGAGCGATGGGCTGGGGAGCCTTGGGCAGATGGTCCGCTTCTAAGATCCTGAATCCTTCTTTACCGGCTGTGTACTTGACGGAGATCTTGCGCCCCGTAGGGTCAACATAGCTGTAGCCTCCGTTCCTGGAGCCATCCGGGGCTATGCTCTCCCCTTGCGCGAGGCCGTTCTCTGAGGTGAAGAGGTACTTGAAGTTGCCGTCGTGGTTCAAGGCCTGCTTGTGGGTGAGGATTTGGGGTGGGGGCGTCCTTTGGTAGTTGTACTGCTCTGAGTCGTCGTACTGCTTGTTCTGGTACTGTGGCTCGCAGTGGCAGCACGCCAAGAGGCCTAGGGCGACAATTAGTACCTACCGGAAACCAGAATTTGATAAATGTTATTTACTAAATTTAAAAAAATATACATATAATTATGAGTACATATTTTTTTGTAGGCTAAAAGTAGTTGAATAATTTGTATAATATTTTATTTAAAATGTATTTCAAATATCAGTAAAATATTTTTATTATGTATACATGCCTATATTTTTTAAATACACATATATAGATTACGTATTTTTGTTTTTTTTTTGAGAGAATCCATAGAAACTACTGTAAGAAATATTTGTTTATCTGAATTTTATTGAATAGGATATCCAAACTGAAATTTTTTTAAAAACGTATCTATTTGTTACACACAGCTGATAAATTGTGGAGTCTGCAAATTGAAAGAGATGCATGGTCTGCTATGCTCGTCTTACGATTTCCGCTTATCTGAATTTGCTGGTTTTTATATGCTGTGCTGTTAACCTTACAAAATATTAGACTTTAGTCTTGGACTTCTTGGAAACTTGATTTTTTGTAAATAAACCAACTATTTCTTTTTCCATCAACGTCTTGATCAAGAGCTTTATTAATATTTATTTTACATATATTTAATTTAAATTTTAACATCAATATAAAAGGTTCCAAAAAATTTATATAAAATTACATTTTTTTTATAAAGAGCTAAAATATTTTTTAATGAAAATAATGTGATACAACATCTTTTTAATAATTATTAATCACCACCTGTAAAAGTGTTGTTTGTTTGGTGTGTTCGATAGGTACGTATAAAAAAGTTATTCTATGCTATCACATTCTTTCGTATCAATAAATTGTAATATTTTTTACTCCCTATTAAAAAATGTCTTCTAAATTTATTGAAATTTTGAAACATATAATCATAATGTTCATACACTATTTTGCCTCTTTTTAGATTGATAATAAAATTTAAATTAAATATGAAGAAATAAATATCGATAAAGCTATAGGTTGTTTTTTGCTACTGAATATTGGTGAATATCAGACTTACTAGTTACTATTTCTATCTCTTTTCTCATACTACACATACCTACTACAACATAGGACTTCACTCCCGATAAAAAGCCTTATGTTAAGAGCGAAATGTCAATGAAAGATGTAGTTGTTGTATAAAAAATTAAGTTCCAACAAAGTCTAACCTTTCATATGAAGTTATATTTTTATATATTTTTTTTCATTTGGGTTTAAAAAATATATAACAATATAAGCCTTCGAAAATTATTTACTAAGTAGGTATTTGTGTGTAAAAAAACTATTAATTTAAAAACTAAAAATATTTCATTATTTAAGCATAAAACTATGTTTTTCAAAACACAATAATTTAAAAAACTAATTAATGTAATACTACTTTTTAAATTCCTGTTTTTGTACTAGAAATTGACAATAATATGGAAAGTATATCACTTTCTCTATTATGTAGAAAATTAGCAATTCATTCTTATTTATATCGATCGATTTGTGATATAAATACTTAATCGATATAAATCTAATAAAAACAGGCTTAATTATTTTAGAAATCGTAACTTCTTATCAACATTTCAGTGCACAAGTTAACTGTCAAAGATAAAAAGTATGCCTAGAAATGTAACAATACAAATTTAAATTATTCTTTTTTCAGAAACAGTAATAATATTAGTCACTTTTATTAGAATATTTTCAATGTTTAGGCTCTTGTCTAGGATATTGTTTGAAATTACTTTATTTGTACTAAACGAAGTGATCATCCCGAACATAGAAAAAGGATTATCTGTTGAAGTGATATAGTGATGCGTATTTTTTACTTCTTTGCTTCTTTTAGTGTGAAAATTTTATTTGTACGAAAACGGGTTTGTTTAATTATTATTTAATTTGTTCATAGTTGAAAAGATACCCAAATAAATAGTGAAAAACTTAAATTTTCAATACAGAAAGATATAAAATACAATTGTTTAAAAAAAATGTTTGCATAAATGCAAAATAAATAATATTTTATATTTATATGCAGATACATGGTGTTATAGATGTACAAACCATTAGTATAATAAATACAAAACAACTGAAGCTCAAATATATTTTATTTATTAGGCCCTAAAAAAGCACATATTATGTATTTTGAACTTACAACTTTTCCAAAATTATAAATCCTACGTCTGCTATTTTTTTGTATTAGCGCCTATTCTAAAAACACCACGCCATTTTATGCTACACTTCTTCTGATAATAAAATGCATATTCAATTTTACAAAAATTGACTAGAAAAAACGTAAAAGGTGTAGGATTTTATAATTTTGAGAAAGTTGTAGGTTTTAGGGTCTATTTAAAAGCAAATTTGAACCTTATTTGTTTTTTACTTATTGTCGTAATGTTTGGTTAAAATGTTTTTATTTTGAATACGATATTTCAAAAAATTTAAAAACATGTATTAAAAAAATAAAATATTAACCCGATTTACCACTCATTTATGGCATTTTTCTATTTGATTTAAATAAAAATAAACGACGTATGTATATATAAGGTATATTCAAATCACAAACTATTTGAAGAACTAGATATACGTTTTGATATTTTTTAAGTATCACTTTTCGCAGTGTAACCCGTTTTCCCGGTTCGAACAGGTAAAACTTTTGCGCGGTATTTCGAAATTATATTAGAAAATGTGAACTACACATTTGGAAAAATCCAAAACTCGTGAAAATTTTGCCCGGAATTTGTCACTTTTCACAGATAGTCACATATAGCCTACGTACCGGTAAACGATTCATGTTATCCTATCTTAGCAAGAACCACTAAACCACACTGGGCCAAAATGCATTTGACACCGGACTTTATAGAAATGGTGGGTGGGTACGCCGCTCCATAGTCCAGTGGCCACATGCACTTGCCTACAAGAGAAAGTGTCCTAGTGCTATGGATTTTTCACACGTCTGAATTATGTAAACAGTTTACTTTCTGATCTATATGTGTACTTGCAGTTAATACAAAAAGGTAAAATTGTGTATAAATAATTTTTTCGGTGGATTCCTGGGTTATATAAATCGCTCCGTTTCGGACGCAATTTTGAAACAATGGCGGTTTCACATCAAAATCCACCTAGGTACGATCCAGTAGACGTTATAAAAGACGTGATAACACTCAGACATCACCTTGGAAGGAATATATCTTTGGGAAAGTACAATAATTGAATTAATTTCACATATCTATCGTATCATGTCCAATATTTCAATCTTATTAGGACCAAAATGTTCAAAATAAATCAAACCAAGGGTTAAGTCAAAACGATGCGATTTTTGAAGGGTATTTTGACAATATTACATTTTTCTCACGACCCATGAAAGTTAAATTAATTTTGTCTATTACATCCCTAATCTACAGTTCAGAGTATAATTTGTGCGAATGTAAACATGTTCTATAATTTTATGTTCTGTGTGATTTTTGATAAAATTGTTTGTTTGTATCTATCTATCTATCTATCTATCTATCTATCTATNTACCGGTAAACGATTCATGTTATCCTATCTTAGCAAGAACCACTAAACCACACTGGGCCAAAATGCATTTGACACCGGACTTTATAGAAATGGTGGGTGGGTACGCCGCTCCATAGTCCAGTGGCCACATGCACTTGCCTACAAGAGAAAGTGTCCTAGTGCTATGGATTTTTCACACGTCTGAATTATGTAAACAGTTTACTTTCTGATCTATATGTGTACTTGCAGTTAATACAAAAAGGTAAAATTGTGTATAAATAATTTTTTCGACGGATTCCTGGGTTATATAAATCGCTCCGTTTCGGCCGCAATTTTGAAACAATGGCGGTTTCACATAAAAATTCACCTAGGTACGATCCAGTAGACGTTATAAAAGACGTGATAACACTCAGACATCACCTTGGAAGGAATATATCTTTGGGAAAGTACAATTAATTGAATTAATTTCACATATCTATCATATCATGTCCAATATTTCAATCTTATTTGGACCAAAATGTTCAAAATAAATCAAACCAAGGGTTAAGTCAAAACGATGTGATTTTTGAATGGTATTTTGATAAAATTACATATTTCTCATGACCCATGAAAGTTAAATTAATTTTTTGTCTATTACATCCCTAATCTACAGTTCAGAGTATAATTTGTGCGAATGTATGTAGACATGTTGTAAATTTTATGTTCTGTGTGATTTTTGATAAAATTGTTTTAACGTTGTGTAAAGGATTTATACATTGTATTTTTTTATAACAATACCAACTGTTTTACAGTTCAAAGTGAAACTAAAAATTGACATACCACATTTGTACGAATGAATGTAAACAATTGTCAAATCATATCTATCTATCTATCTATCTATCTATCTATCTATCTATCTATCTATCTATCTATCTATCTATCTATCTATCTATCTATCTATCTATCTATCTATCTATCTATCTATCTATCTATCTATCTATCTATCTATCTATCTATCTATCTATCTATCTATAAGAAAGGAAAAAAGGCACTTACAATATTAATACATACAGGATGATAGATATATCATGGAAAATGTGTTTTTTTATTAAACCGATGGTATATAAATTTAAATAATGGTGTTTAGTTGTTGTTACCCAAATTTGGGATGAAAAAATTTAGCTGCATATTTGTTAGTGTTGGCAGAAACTTATATAAGTATCTGGACAGAACGAAAATGTCTAGACATTTATCATATCTGTGCGGACTTCCTTCAAATTTATTATTACCGCCATTTTCAGCAAACTGATCTATCTTAAGAATCCTTAAAATCTTCAATTCCAAATTATTATAATATCTTGAAATTGTTTTACAGTTTTTTTGTGGTTTTTACTCCAATTATTATTTGGGCTAAAGATGGTTAAATCAGAAACTCTGATTTGGAGACAAATAATAAAAAAATAAATTGCAAGAAACATACAAACTGCAATCTGAATATTTACTATATGGTCCATAACATATGTCATATGTTGTACTTGTTGCTCTAAATACAATTTTTTTTATTTTTTAGTTTTTTTCTATAATTTATTTATTTTATTTCAATTCACATGTACACAACAGAAATTTAAGCTTCTTCAAATTAAATCATAATTTCGTAATTAAACTTTAATTTTTTACTGTTAGCTATAAGCTGGGAAAGGATAGGCGAAAATTGTTACGAAAATATTAATTTTTCCCTTAATTCTTGTATTTTAAAGAATATATTCTAAGAGAATATAAGTTATTGGTATCATCTTGAAGCTTACGACATGTGCTGTACAGTAAATCTGTTACACTTTATTTTCCAAGTGTCTAAAATGTCCAAACAGTTGTCTGGACAACTGTCAAATTCTTAAAATGTCAGGACATTTGCTAAACTAATATTCGCACTACTCCATAGGACACTGACAATTTATTTTCTCAGGAACATACTCTTGCTTGGATGCTGCTGGAAATAACTTTTAATAGTCAAACTTTGTTATATTTAACATTATTTTTTATTCTCAAAATATTAACAGTTAAAAATTACTTTCCTAAAAACGGCTACCTTTTTATTCAACATTTGATCCTGAAACAGCGCATTTCCCAAGGTGTATCCCTAACCCTACAAATGACATTTTTTCTTTGGTTCAGGTATTTAAATCTACTTTAAGTGAAATATAATTGTTTCTTTTTACAAAGCGTCACTGTATTCAAAATGTTTCTAAGAATGACGCTCTCATCATTTTTTAACTCATCCCCATAACAATGTAAATAATAAATGACTGTTCCATTCCAATCACAGTCATGAGTAAAGTTGCTAAATCCTTAAATTAATCAACACGTTCATTTGATCTTGCTTTGCTTTCATTAACAGCTTGGTCTACCAGTTTTTCTTCACTTTCCAAACCCAGCAGAGCAAGATCAAGACCAAATTTGACCAACGAACACAAATAAATACAAAAGTACTCGTATCTATTCAGAATCAGTATAATGATGACACTAATGACTATTCATTTCGTAAAAAAATTGCGATGTGATTTCTGCTTCTGATAAAATAGTTCCCGAACGCGGTCAACGGCCTTTCGTCTCAGTTCCATTGTCTACAATTCTCTAGAACAACAATTGGAACGATTGAATACCAACCCGTAGTACTGTTGTTAAAAGACCAATAAAAAGGTACTTAAGACAGTGGAAATAGTTAAGCAATATAACGTTCCGCTACATATTTCTTCAGCTGCTGGATAATTTGCAAAATTGTATTACATTTGTAGAGCTTTTTCCGAACAATTTGAACGCATGCAATCGCTACGTGTTCGTAACTTGTTTACTGTTAACAAATGGACTGCTTTTACAAATTCCATCCACCCCAGATACCTTCAGAAGAGAAATAACGTTTGCCAACGTCTACTTATACGTCTATCAAGAAAATTAAATGCTCTCCTGAGACTTGCAGTAACATTTTTTATGCTTCGGGATAATTTTAACGATTTCGTTGAGTTATAATACAAATTATTTCGTTTTAAACACTGCTGCTCTTCATTATCAGGTCACTTTGGCTTCACGCGAGTTCGTGTTCAGGTTATAGAAACGGATTAGAATTTAAAATGACTTTTGTGGAACGTTTTGTTACTACTAAGGTGTTTGCAATATCAGTACATATTGGAAATAGAAATAAATTTAAACGTAGTAGGCCGTGCTCTACTTTTCATTGGTGTTAGACATGGTGATGGAATTATAAGTACGAACAAAACCAGATCGGAATAGAAGATGTCACCAATTGAATTCAACCATGAAAATCACCCATATCGATTAAACGAAAGTATGTTCATTTTCATTTGAAATAGGAATATAATAGGTTCCTTTGAGAAACTTGTTGTTGTTCAAACTGTATTACTTATTTAAACAAATGCTTATAATTTTGTGGCAAATGAGCAAACTCGTCATCTTAAATTAGTGAAATAAAATATTATTTTGCTTTAATTCGCTTTTTTGGACACAAATACTTACCTACAATAATCATTTTGTGATTGTTTTTAAAGTTTATGTCTTACGTGCTCTCTCTTTTTATGATAAAAAGTTTCTAATTTTCTGCTCTTTTAGAAATTCTCCTGAAATTAATTCTTAATAATCCCCAAGTTCATATTTAAAACGAGTCTTTTGCATTGTGTTGTCGAAACCGTCGACTACATGAAAAACTTTACACAGTATAATCGACAGCTTTCATATTTCTATTCACAGCCAAGCAAAGTTCGAAGTGGTATACAAACAATATTTATTTAAAAATAGGTAATAAAGTTTTTTTGTAATTGCTTTTTCAACTGGTTGCGAAATTGGTAAGAAATAATTTCTTAAATCAGTGCTGCTTAAAATGTTTTTAGAGAATAACTGTTAGGACGATTTTTTTAAATGAGAAGATTAATGAAAGTATCATGGAATTAAAGAATTCTGGCTTTAGAAATGTATTTGTTTATATACCAAGGCTATAATAACGAGCGTTCAAATAAAAACGTGGTCGAAGTTGGCTCTGACACATTGGACGTAGGGAGTAGCTTATAGCGACCAACTTAACCTCATTTCTCAACGAGCTGTATAGCAGTTGTCAGTTTCAATAACGTTAATGACTATATAACTTTATTTTAAAGAATAATCGTGATAACAATAGCAAACAATTAAAGGAGCTGCGGAAAGTGTCCCCCTCCTTGTTATAACAATAAATTAAAGCAGCTGCTGAAAGTGTCCCCCTCCTTGTTCCAAGCACTTTTCACACCTGTTCCTCAAAGAATTAAAGACATTTTCTAAGATGCTCGGGGTATTGTTAATTTCACGAATCTTGTCTATAAGTCGAGCCTGCAGATGGTTTAAATCAGGAATAGGCAGTTCAAAAATAGTGTTTTTAAGGTAAGGCCACAAAAAGAAATCACACGGCGTAATATCACATGACCTCGGTGGAAATTCATGTTCAGCATTGAGACTTATTAGTCGATTTTGGAAAACTTCCCTCAACATATTCATCGTCTCGCCTGCCGTATGTGCCCTTGCGCCATCTTGTTGAAAGTAAAAGTTTGTAATTTCGTTTTCTTCCAGCTGGTTAACAAAAGGAGCGATAATTTCTTCTCTATACCTTTGCGCAGTAAGAGTACCATTAAAAAAAATAGGTCCATAAATCCTCCTTCGATTGAGAGCACACCAAACTCCAATTTTTTGAGCGTGTAGAGGGCCCTCGACAAAAAAGTTATCTGGTTTTTCAGAAGACCACATTCTCATATTCTGTGAGTTTACGTAACCACTTAAATGAAACCAGGCTTCATCAGAAAAAAAGGTGATATTATGAAGTTCACCGTAGTTGTTTAAAAACCATTCACAAAATACAGCCCGTCGCGGAAAATCAACTTCATGAAGTTCTTGCTGACAAGTTAAACGATAGGAGAACAAACGCAAATCTTTTTTTAACACTGTGTGGCAGGTACCGACTGATACTCCCACCATTTGTGATAAAACACGTACAGAAGTTCTTGGCGCATTTTCCATTATTTGTTGGACATTTTCTTTTAATTCTTCAGTCCGCTTTTTAGGTCGGCCGCTTCCTTCTTTTCTTGTTACACTGCCCGTTTCACGAAAAACATTAACACAACGCTGAACTGCACTTTGAAAAATTTTGTACTCAACAACGCCGGGAAATTGATTTTGAAATTCTATGAAACATTCCTCAATAGAATACTTCCATATTCCATCAATCTTGCGTCCATTTCTAAAGTAGGACTCTATGATAAACACTTTTTGTTCTTGAGAAAACACAATTTTAAACGCTTTTTAAAACGAAAATATTCAAATTGATAGCGGCGATATAGCGCTTTGACAGATGACATTTAAGTTCATTTACTATACGCTACGCCCTACGTCCAATTTTTCAGAACCAACTTGACCACGTTTTTATTTGAGCGCTCGTTATATAGATAATTGATTGTTTGGGGACCGCTGACTACAATTTTATGTACAGTATGTCCACAGATGGAGCTGGAAAGAAACAAGACTTTATTTTTCATTTTATTATAGAAATATAGTGGTTGTTTTATCTTATAACTCTAATAAGACACTATATTAGTAAATGAACATAAATATCCTTTTCTGGCAATGAAAATTCGAATCGTTTTAAGCATGTACGTCAACGAAACAAAATATGTTAGTTTATTTTTTTTATTAAACAGTCGTTTACCAAAATATTTAGCAAAATTTCCCTCATTCCTCAAATGTTTTGTTATTGACACAAATGGTTGATGATCTGGAGACAGCTTATTACTATATTTGTATTATTTCTTTGTACGGGACACCCTGTATATGTTGGCCCACTTAAAAGTATGTTTTTTTGTATATTTCCACAGAAGCAGATTCTTTTAACAAAATTACTTTTGTTCATAAAATGAAAGCTAAAAAGATTTGACTCTTTTCAACTCCACTGGTGGACACAAATTTACAGTAACCTAACCTATAAATAGTAACATAATAAAAACGTAGGTACTTACCTATTTTAAAAAATTATTAACTACACTTATATGAATATATAGTGGAGAAAGCGGAAAATTAGTAAATACGTTAAGTAGGTACAAATTAATTGAAAAATATCATTTTTAACGAATGAAATACTTAGCAACAAACACTTCGTTCGTTCCAGATTCCGATCCTGATTTGCTTTTCGTTATTTTGTTTATTGCTCTAGAAACTTAAAAAAGAAATGAGCTATAGTCTTATTTAACACAACATTAGTGACTAACAATTTTAAGCTTAAGTTTAAATTCTGAATAATATATCTCGAAATATTTTTAAGATAGTTATACAGTGTATATACAGTGACTGGAAAAAGTACCACAAAAAGGATGGTAGAACATTAAAAAATAAGACGAGTTTTTTTTTATGTGCCCATCGTCTTTAGTTTTTGGGAAATATTATCAAAAATAATTTTTTTAATTCAAATTTTGTTCAGAACTTTTCTAAAAAACAGCATAATGCATTGAAATTTGGTATGGGTAAGTTTTTGAAGCTGCTAAATATATCAGTGCATTTAGTTTTGGCCTCTGCTAGAGGTCGTTTGGTACTATTTTTCTGAGTGACATTTTATGACATGCCTTTTTGAGGTTAAGTTCATTACGCTGAATACCAATTGTGTTATTGTATACAACAATTTAATTTATATTGAACTCGTTTGAACCCTGTTTGAATCAAGACGATTTAAGCGCGGTGACTATAAACAATAAAATGTAGCTGTTTGAAAAAGTAGTTTCTTTGTATCAACAACAATTTGTATATGGTTTGTTTTTATAGTCAACAACCCTATTGCAAATAAATTGCTACCATCTTCAGCAGAGCCTACGGAGCCTTGCCAATAATAAAACGTACGCAGTAAACTTAAACAATTACAGCAGCAGCCTCATTGAACACCCAGAACCAAAAGCTACGATAACCGACAGCACTGGATCTGCATAAATTTAAGTCACTGCAATATCGGCACTTTCAATTTACATGTAGCAAAATAAATTGTGATCGTCCTATTTATAATAATTACTGTTTTGTATTGAAAAGTTATATTACTTAAAGTGTATATTGTTTAATTAATAAAATCAAATGATAAATTATTTTTACATTTATTTGTTATATGTTCTAAAACGAAGAAAACTTTGGCGTTCTAGAACATAAAATTATTTTTCAACTAGGTGACAAGAAAGACAGTTTTCAAAAAAGATGTTACGAAAATAACAGTACAATAATTATTATTTGTAGTCATTTATGTATTACTATTTTTGTATTACTTCTACTCATGAGCACATCTGGAAAAAGTTGTCTTGTACGGTAGCAGTTATAAAATCACAAAAAAACAAAAAAGAAGTAGTTTCTTGAAACTTCAACTGGAATATATTTTAACCTTTAATACCCTCAGAAAATTATCAGTACCATTTCAATGCGTTACATTGTTTTTTAGAAAAGACATGAAAACAATTTGATTTTAAAGAATTATCTTTGACTCCGCATACCTCCTACAAAAAAATAGGCTTATACTATTGTTATTAGTTATAGATAAAAAGTGTTTACTATTTATAAATATTTATTGCAATTTGAATAAAAACCAAATATTTTCCTTTTGGACCTTATTTTCACCTTTCGAAAAACTAACCAAGTGTGATTTATTTTTTATTAAATGTAACATTTTGCACAAATTTGTTATACTTTATAGAAGAGAAGGATATTTAGAGGGAGATGAAGGGTGGAATGAAACTGCACCTGTGGAGTTTTGTCAACATTTTTGTTGTTTTATTATTGCACCACAAATTAGACATCAACATCAAACACCAAATACCACTTAGGGCGCACTCTACATGACGAGTGCCGTTAAGTTGACTCCTATTATAATAAAATAGCTAACATGCATTAAACCTACTCTAAACAGGTACCTATTGTTGGCCCTATTGTTTAACGTAATACTGATATCGGCAATACGCTGCTGCTGTATTGCCCTTGTAGTTCGGACCCTTACCAGCTTTTTTACCAAAATAAATTTTAGTCAGGATGGGACGTGGTGATTATTGTCTTCTCACAATAATCGTTCTGAGTCGTGCAACTCCAGAAGGAAAAACGTACTGTGCGGTCTCTTCAATATATAAACACAACGATTAGCTCAAAGGTTACGATTAATCGGCTATAGAGGTAAAGCAACAATTAAGGTCCCCTTACTGCTTTTCTAGCACACCAGCTTGTCCAAATGGTTTGATTGGCTCAGCAATTCTCTTAGAATGATAATTCCACTACGGGTTAACACTAACTTCCTAAAGATATACAGACAGACATTGAGGATTATATATTATACGATGCATGGCAATCATTTATCGGGCTTTGGGATGAGAGCGCCATCTCTGTTCATACAAGGAAACGTCCGAAAAGTTCTCCGAAAGACGAAGGGCTCCTTATTGCCTCGCTCCCTTGGGGAAGGATTACGTGCAGCCATTCACGGTAATCCTGACGAGGACCCTTCCAATTTAATTTTGAATTTCGCGCTTGCGACTCCCATCGGTAATTCGTCACGTCCGAGGTGTTTTTTTTTTTCATTGAAACATAACAACTGAAGTACATCAGCAACCAAGGTTGAACGGAAGAAAAGAGAGGTGAGAAGAACGGTCCAGTTCGGGTATATGCGCTCCCAGAGCGAGTTTGCAATTTGTACAATTAATATATGTTCCGCTCCGGATCACATATGAAAATATTTTAACTATACATACTTTACAATCTCCTTATTACGTCTGTTTCGTCGGTATTTATTCGTCGTCCTCTTCATTCTGGTACGTCACATATCGTACTGATGACTTTTCTCCGGTTATAAGCGACTGAAACACATAAAAGTTTTATACTAAGGCCAGACAGAGCGCTATGAGACGTACATACAGGGTCAGAAAGTACCGATGGTCTACAGGGTCGGAACGTCCCCATGGTTCATCGGTCGTTACGCGAGAGCGATAAAGAAAGTCATAGAAATCCATGCGATAGAGAAAGATGGCTATAATGAAGGCGTCTAATAGTCACCGCCCATTTCGCCCTTCCACAAATAAGAAGTGGATCTTATTTGTGGAAGGGCGAAACGGGCGGTGACTATGAGACGCCTTCATTATAGCCATCCTTCTCTATCGCATGTATTTCTATGTCTTACTTTATCGCTCTCACGTAACGGCAGATGGACCATCGGTACTTTCTGACCCTGTACACGGTGTTAAAAAAGCATAAAATGGTTCAAAAGCCAAACGTATTAAAAAAAATTTCAACAGCGAATAATAACATAATTAGAGCCCAACCTCAGATATTTGTGAGAGCCCAGTTTGAACATCTTTAATAAAATTATTATTTTCCACGAAATATAAATGTACCAATTTAATTCAGCATCCATTTCTTTAATTTTAACTCTCATTAAAAGCAACAAATTAAATTGTCTACAATAACACCACCATAAACAGCAACGGATAAGAATTAATTACGCAACATCCGCACGATAACAAAGGCAACAGTATACTAACGTGACATAAACATGAAAAGCATTCTGAGGTAGATGCTCATGTCTTGGTTGACTCGCTTGGCATGCCTTTGAATTGCGGCTTTCTCTGACAGCCCTATTTATATTATATTTTGTACTCTATTATTTTTTTTGTTTCTAGTACTCTTCGCTTATGTAATTTTTTACACTTTTTTAACACCTGGTATATGTTTAATAACAAAAGATACTGCATTGTTCTTATACTGATTTTTGTCAACTCAAATGAATCTAAATAATTTTAGCAACAGAACTACAAATAATGTTGTGGAAAACAACTACTCTGCTGATGAATACCCCAGCCAGCATTGAATTATACGCTATTTAGTAAATAGATCGTTCGTCCGTAAAACCACCAGATATATACCGGTTTTAATATCATAATTGGCTCTCACCAGTATGCTATTGGTGAGATAACCGATGAATAATCTAATTATTTTGACTTTTGTGTACAGATATAGTATGGGTGAGATATAATCAAGAGTGTGTTGATCTCAAATAGTGACTGCTACAAAATGGAAGGAAAATTTGTGGAAGTTATTCTAAATAAAATTTAATCGTTCTTCAAATACATAAAGAAACACTGTTTTCCCTACTTTGTATCTCTTACGGTTCACGAGATGTCAATGGTGGGGATAAGAAACGGTTCAACCTGTATATCAAGAAATGGAAGGCCCGACATTAAAAATACAAAAATATTGCCTAACTGATATTTAAAGTACGATGGCACTTCGTTAGCTTCAGCTAATCTGCCCTTGTTGTTCTCGGTCTAAACTTTGCGGGGGCGAACCAGTTATTGGAACCCCTAGATATAAGTTTTAGTTGCTGTTTATGAGGTCACTAGGGACGGAATCGCCTCTGAGACAATGGTGGTTTTCTGGAATTTTATGTATGATCTCTGTAACTGGTCGCATCCTAACGTTTCACTGTCGTTCATTGCCAGCATCATCAGTGGTGATTTTGTAAAAGCACTAAGGCGAGACCAGGGGTTTTGATAGCGGGTCAGCCCCCATAGAGCTTAGCCTAGGAACAAGGGTAGATCAATGATTCCCAGTTAAGACTAAGGAAGTCTAACTGGCGGTCACGGCATAAAAACTCAAAAAATCATAGAACTCTAAAAAAATATTGTACACAGTTTTAAATCAGGTAATCGAGATGGCCACTCCAAAAAATAATTTCTCCATATAATACATTTTACTTGAAAAAATAAAAATATTATTGATGTAAGTTAGGAAAAAGCTTTGAAACGTCAAATGGAAAGATAGGAATATTCTTTATGGAACTAAATAAAAAAATGATATTTCGCAGTAATCTTTAAAGAAGATTATATTGACACACACCCACCTTTTTTTCTTCTTTTGTTGGGGGACTCTTTAAACAATATAGTAGTGGAGCGTATAGGAAATTCAATATAGCGATTCCAAACAGCATCCATTCGAATCCAATTGTTTTTACAAGAGTTCCGCTCATTGCAGGTCCTAGAATTTTACATTAAATTACTATTTTATAGTCCATATAGGTTTCAAAGTCAAAATATGTCTGATTAATCTGTAAGCGGCATAAACCTCTTGCTCAGACGTTCAATTAATTGTTATCATAAAATTGTTGTATTTTATATTATTTTTATTTAAATATAGATCTCAACGTTTTTAATTTTCTTCTATCTAACATTTGTTTCATTTTAGAAATTACAAAAACATCTTCAGGACTGATAATAAAGCAATAATTTTGTTTCACTTTGTGAGTCTATTTTTTCATTTACAAAATGTTACTTGCAAATCGGCACAATACTGTACGTGCCTTAGTGCTAAAAAAAATACCAAACAGGAGCAAAAAAATAGCATTTTCATTTTCATATTCTTTGATTATGTTACCCACATTGTTAGCGCAAGATTTTCCAAAGTTTAGTTGTTTTGTATGTAGGCGTCAACCATGCGACTAAACCGAACACCCATTATACACTGATAGAAATTTTGAAAGCGTATCGGAGATTTTGGAGACAATCGTAGCGAAACATTTCTAAGACTAAGCATATAATCCAACCAGTAGTATAAACGGGGATATTAACTTCATTTTGTTCTAGTGGTTGGAGAAGACAAGTTGAGAAATCAGTCGGAAAACGAAAGTTAAAGTATACTTGCTTTTTGTACTAAATATTAGCACATATTAAACCACTAATACGTGAAATTTGATATAACTGACTGTGGCATTACGCATTACTAGTTTGACTGATACTACATTTTTAGGCATAGATTCTATATTTAGCCACAGAAAGTAGTATTGTAGTTACTGTAACAGATACTCCACTTTTTCTTGTAGAGGGTGCCTGAATAAAAGGTACAGAGGCAATCAAGAGAAAGAGATTTTGCCCATAACTACTCTTCCCAGTAAACACAGGTATGTTAGGAAGATTTATAATATCAATATACCATTTGAGAAACGTCTCGTTTTTACTTACAATAAATTTAAAATTGTCGGTGTTTTGCAAGTTTCAGATAACGATAGAAAAAAGATTTAATATCAGTAAATGTGGAATGATCATTTTTAATGAATCTTTAACTTTTACGTTAGAAAATAACATTCGATTGAGGTTTTTGGTAAACGCGATTTAAATCTGGAAGAAGGGTTAAATAACGTTTTTGTTAGAACCCATAATAATTCTCATAAAGCTGATATGAATTTAAGCATGGAAAATATTAGGTCTAAAATAAAAGCACTACTGTCTTTCATAAAAGGTTATTGGACTTTCGTTACAAAAAACGAATAAATTAATAGTAAACGCCAAAAACTGGAATTGAATAATATAGTAATATGAATTTATTCATTAATTGACAAATAATGTTTCTATTTATGTTCGCCTTGATGATTCTGGCCGATCAATGTGCCTTTCTTTTTCGGTTACCGTAAAGTTGAGTTTGGCAACTTTTGAAAAATAAAGTTATATATAATATCGCGAAAATGATTTTTGTATTATTTTTTTACCAGAAATTTAATTTTCGCTAGTGTCTTTATGTCAAATATTAAAAGGTAGTTACTATTAACTAATGGCATATTGAAAATACGTTTTAAAAACATTAGTGTATTTACTGGATTATGTCTGCAAAGATGAAAGTGTCAAAGAAATACTCTCATATGTAGAGGGCGTGGAGGATCGCTCTGTATAGCCACCACGCGAATGAATGGAAAGCAGGAAACCGACCCAAACCAAGGCACAAACCCACACCACAAAAATGAGGGAAAGCCAAGTTGCGTTACGCAAGACTAATAATACAATTTGACGTGTTAACCTTATTTACCTACCTATAGCGAAGCCAAGGCAGAACGCCACGTCTCCGATAGCGTAGACGCTGCCGTAGACGGCCGAGTGTCGGATGTCCACCAGGTAGCCCAGTTCCGGCATCATGGAGCTATCCACCATGCCGATGGCGAAGCCCAGGCCGGCGTTGGGTATGATCAGGTGATTCATGCTCGTCGCCAGAGGTATCTGAAATTCATTGCCGTTAGCTGTCGTCTTTTTGCTCGTCCCGGTTAACCAACTGTGAAATTCTTGTAAGCATATAATTATCTCTTCTCGTTATTACTAACGTACGTGTAATATGCGTCTAAACTTGAGCTTAATACAGAAAGTTTTACTTTAAATGTATATTGTTGCAAAATATTCCTCAAAAGTTATTCTCTCTAGTAATACCACTCCCCCTTTATGAAAAATGTTACTAACTGGCTAATACTTGATGAATACTCTCGATCGACAATTTCGGGGAACACTAAAAACAACAGAAAGATAATCACAACTGAATATCAGACGGGGTGACATTGCCGTACTGTTAGACTTAAGTTACTCATAATTATTACAAATACCACAAATTATACAGTGTTGCTTAAGCAGAGGTCAAAAATCCAGGGGCGTATTCTGTTTCCAAAAATAAAGGTTTTTTGTTACATAAACGTGGGGTCTTAGGACAACCATTGTCCAGTTACAGTCAAAAATTAAAAAAATAATCAGTTTTTAATTTTTCACACAAAAAATTGAACAAAAGGTTTTATTTTTACCGCTTTCATATTGTTTACCGACGAAGCTAATTTTTTCAGAGATGCTATAATGAACTTCCACAATAAACACGTTTGGTCTGCTGAAAACCCTCATGCCATAATGCAATCTCGATTTCAACATCAGTTTTCTTTGAATCTATGGATGGGTGTTATTGGAAATTGTCTTGTTGGGTCTTACTTTTTACCAAGAACTGTAACAGGTGCTTCCTACAGACATTTTGTTGAAAACGTTTTTCCTGAACTACTTGACGATGTTCCTATGCGCTAAGAGAAATAATATGGTTTATGCTCGACGGGGCTACTCCACATTTTAGTTTAACTGCTTGTGAATTTTTAAATGAAACATTCGGCAATAACGTGATTGGACAAGGCACTCAAGAGCGAGATCAATCTTGGCCACCCGGATCACCTGATATGAACCCTATTGATTTTTTTTGTTTGGGGACATCGGAAGACATTAGTTTACAAGGTTCAAATTGAATGTGAGGAGCATTTATGTCAAGAAATTATCTGGTTGTGATGTGATAAGAGCTACTCCTGGAATTTTTGCACGTATTCGAACTGCAATTTCAAGAAGATCTGGGGCATGTATTTTGGCTGAAGGTGGCCATTTCCAACATTTGTTATAATAAATCATAGTAATTCAATTGTTAATTAAATATTTTGATTTAAGTACCTGATGTAATGTAATGTAAAAATGCACTTGATCAAATAAATCAATTTTGTCCTTAATCGGTTAGAATACAAAAAAATGTAAAGAAACAAAAAGGGAAGATAATACAATAGGGCATATGATGACCTATTTTATTTGTAATATTATACAGGGTGATATATTTTTTTGGCAAATAGTAATCGATGATACCCACACTTCCGTCACTGGTAAGTTTCTAAAACTGATAATTTTTTGTTTCATACCCACTGTCATACTGACTATGCACACCGAATTTGATTAAATTATCTCAAACGGTTTAGAAATTAAAAATTAAAAACTGACTTTTTTTTTAATTTTTGACACGCTCTAGCTGGACAATGGCTGTCATAAGACCCCATATTTAAATAACAAAAAAAATACTTATTTTTGGCCATAGAATACTCCCCTAAATTTTTTACCTCTACTTAAGAAACATCCTGTAGGTATATTTGACAGCTTTGCATAAAATAAGACGTTACTTGAAGAAGTAAATTAGCACTACGCTTAGAATCAAATAGTTTAGGTTGTTACATTAGTTTATTTTAGTTTGTAAGCTTTAATTTTAAACTTTGCTCCATAGAACTTTTTTTTTATATTGATAAACTATCATGCATTTAACGTATGACACTCTTAGTGCGACCACCCTGTAGGTCTAACATAGTAGCAGACGTAAAAAAACCTTCACGCTAAAGATTTAACACTCTTTAACCCCAAAGAATTCAAAATATCTTAGGAATTGCAGTGTTGAAAACATGGCGCAACTTATCAGACCTAACCATTTCGGCGATTCAAAATCCAGCACATTATTATCAACAATATTATTTATCAGAAAGTCTATCATTAATTCGAGCAGTAATTAGTAACGCATAACTACACACGGAAATATATCACAATAAAAACAATTAAAATTACGGTAAAAGTAGAAACCACACCGGGTCTATTAAAAACAAGTTTCATTTTTACGAATACTGATATAAACGGCGACCGAACATTTGTATCTAGATTTCGAGCAACGTGAAGTGTTTGTCAATTTATCATATCGCGAGCGTAATGCGAAATTTTACAGACATTTCGACATACATGGAAACAGTGGCGGACGCATGGGGTTTTGGGGACAAGAACCTCCCCACATGAAACCACCATGACGAGTGAGTGCAAACTAACAAAATTCGCAAATAAATTTAATAACTAATTACTATAAAGAAATCGTAAACTATTAAGTTATAGGGTAGCTTAAATTTAAAAAAAAAATCATGTAATTTTTTGCTGATACTGATTACAGCTGTCAAGATTTTCTGTTTTTAATCGTTTTTGAAATACTTAATCAACATCCTTTCTTATAAAGGCCAGATTGGTCATCCATATGTGGTTAAATGAAGAAAAAAAAATGCGAATTCAAGGATATGTTGCATTTTCATGAAATTTCATGGTCAACGATCATAATATAGGACTACATTTAAATGTTATTTTAATTTTAAACCTTAGTAAGTCGATTATTGCAAAACAAAACAAAAAAGAGCATATTCCAATTTTTTCATTCAATTACAGAAACTAGTTTTCAAGGAAAAATTTCAACAAAATGCTATGCAACTTTTTTGTAATTTGAGCTAACATGTATCTTTAACAGTTTATATCTGTATATAGTCTTCCATTATATGCAGCAGGTAGTTCTAACTCGATGTTTTATACTTTTTTAGACGTTGAACTTCCTTTATGGGTTTTTTGAGTTTGCACTGGTTCCTCTAAGAACGGTTTGGAGAATCTCTTCTAATTTTTAAACGACGTTTCATCTATGTGGGACGTCATCAAATTATTTTTTTAAGTACAAGCCTAGGTAAGAGACATTTTTTTTAAATAAAAGAGAAATTTAAGATCACCTTGTATAATTTGTTAATTTGGTGCTACTTTTATTTCCAACTTTTCTACTGGTTATTCATTTCGCTGGTTTGCATTGCAACCGATATTTCCTACAGTAGAGATACCTGGTTACCCATTTTTACTTTTTAATGCGGTGTAGGTTCCACTTACAAACCATTTAAAGTGTTGGACAAGTTGCTTAATACTTAATTTAATAAATTGCAACAGGACTGCGCAATTAGGACAGCTACCCGGCGAACTTTTCTTTACACACTCGACTACCAAACCAAACAAAACAGTTCTTAAACTTATCATAATTTCTACAGAATTCTCTCGTTTGGAAATATTTTTAATTCTGCTCCCGCACCGAAGCGTTAAATTGTGTCGTTGCACAAATCACAGTTGGCTTCTATACTGATATTGTAGTGTGTGTGGCAACTCGAAAGCATGACAAACTGGACTGAAAGTGTGTATTTTACTTTTATGTGGAACCAATGTCCTTTGAAGAAATGTTGGTTTATGATCTTGACATGATACATATAGTTTCATTTTAATAAGCCCAGATAGATAAAAACGTTAGATTAAATTTGTTGTGAATAAATATTGATAATGTGTTTTATGTAATCAACCTTTCTCTTTAATGTTCTCTTGTACCATGCTTGTTATCTCTGGTTTATGGAATAACTTCTTAGGTTATACCTTTTATTTTTGGAAATTTTGTTCAACGAAATTTGATCAGTGTCAACAACGGATATTTTATTTAATGGTCAAGAAAGTACGTGATATCATTAATAAAAATACAGTTTTTGACAAAAAAATAAATATTTTGTTGATACAATCAATCAATGTGTCGCTGCAAACACTAAAAATTAAAGAAATATACCTAATAAATTTGAAACATTATTTCAATTTCCATTTGTCCATAAATAACAAAAACATATTATGGAAGAAACACTCATAAATATAATTTAAATTGATATTAAAGAGTATCGGTCCCAAGTGAGAGCCTTGAGGCATCCCACGGTTATGTTGGATAATATCAGCATGTGATAATATGATGACACCCTAAAATACTTGAAAAATTCTAGATAATATTAACTACAATAATTTATTTTATTTATACAGAATGTTACAAATTCGCTTCTCACTACAGGGCTCTCGGAAACGGTAAGAGGTACGATGTAGCTTAAATGGAGGCAAAGTTGCGTAATCAGAGGACCAGCATTATGTCTCTAAAAAATCAAGGCTAACATAATTAGTTTTCGAAATATTTGAAAAAAATCGAAATTTTGGAAATCCGTTTTTGTTTCATTTCAGCATTGTTTGAGGTGATATTGAAAAAAGAAGGACACTTTCTCAAGGCCACTTTTTGCTCTCTATCGAATGACATAATCAATTTTTATATGTAACGTTTCGTCTCACCAGGACCATCATCAACTTCATTTTTTTAAATACGAGCCTAGAAATTTTATTACATTTTTTGCAAGCCTTCATGATTCCCAATACTGTACTGCCTCAGCCCGAACCAGATTCAGACGTTTTGTCTCGAAAAATTCATCTTCAATGTTCAGAATTTGTAACAGCCTGTATATATTTTTTATATAAAAATAATCACGCCGTACAATTATAAATAAGAATTAATTTATTTACTTCGTAATTTGGAGAAAGTCAATAAACTGGATTCACTATCAAAAATTAATTTTCTTAAATATCCTGAAAAAATATACAACTTGGCAACACTGTATCATTTCGCACTGTGACGTCATTAAAAATGTATCGTAAATAAACATATACCAGCAGGTACTGTAAAAATGGTGGTTTTTTGCTAGACACGTTTTTAAATGCAGTTGTAAAGAATTCTCTAACACAAAACTATGTTAAAAATATCATAAAATGGAATTTTATTTATAAAAATATCACGTGTTCCGTATAAAAACAAACTGGTAAAATTTTTGTTGGACTATCTAACGAACACATTTTAAATGCAGCTGATAAGAATCCACCCACATTCAAAACCATGCTAAAAATATCGATAAACCGATGATATTGAGAGACAAATATCACCCTGTTCCATTTGGAGGCATCGAAAACGCATTACGGAATATCCGAGATGATTTAAGTGTATATAAAGAATATGATCGCTATCATCTTATCTCATTCATGGCCTGTCGTTGTGAATTTGTTCTCAGCAGGGAGCAGATACTACAGATAGTAAAAATAGGGACTAGTACACCGGAATCGTTTATTTAGAAATTACAGTCTTGTGCCTTAATAAGTGTATAAAGCTTTGGAATAGGTAACTGTGATATATTTTGTGTAGGCGACTGCTTGTCCTTGGTACCCCAGAAAAAGTATTATTGTGAAATTAATAAAAGTAAAAGCCACTAAACGACTTGTTATACGAGAACGAGGTAGAAACATATTTCTACTGTGTAACACTTTTAACATGATAACATAAATCTGATTTCAGACACGAAAAAGTGTATCAGATATGCAATTTACTTCTTGTAACAGTTATTTAAAAGTTGTAAATATACAAAATGCTATACTTTCACTTTTTAAACTGCGTTTAATAAAACTAGGAACAATTTTCGTCGAAATATGTTCATTTTCAAGGTAAATGTTCACATTGAGAAATAAATTGTACTGTGATTGAAAATAACCAACTACGGGCCTTACATGTATAGTCAGCTATAGTTACACTATACAGGGTGTTTCTTATAAATTCTTAAAATGTTTTAATTTTCTCAAACATTTGAACAATTAAACCAACTATTAGAGGGAATATTTTAATGTAAACTAAAATTTAATCACCTTTTTTACAAAATAATATGCGTGATACTGATAGTTTTAATTTTGTATTAACATTGGAAATAGTTAGGGAATCGGTAATCTAACGCTGGGCGTAGGGGTGGTTCGGTCGGAGTGATTTTGATGTCGTTGTGTAGGTTGCACTTTTCTCTGTCGAAGAGAAGAAATCCTGGCATTACCCTATTACGGAAATGGCAACGGGGAAGAAAATGATGAATCTTTACATTTTGGCTGTTTTTATAAGAGTCTGTAGATGTTTAATTGCGCAATTGTGCAATAAGACTTAACGTGTAAACTAAGTTTTCCAAGGCAAGATGAATTTGTGTGTAGGAGCAGCAAATCAGTCTATGATTTTCAAAGACAAAAAAAGGAAAAATTTATAATAATTATTCAATTTATCAAAAGTTTGCTTTGTGCCGAATTCTGTAATTATTTTTGTAATCTTCATTCATTACTTGAAATTTTTCATTTGGAGAAAAATGTTATTTTATTCAGAATATCTTAGATATTTAAAAAATAATAAAGTTCAACGTTCTGCTATTTGGAGAGGAGTCATTTTTGGTTACTGAAATATTTTATACATTTCTTAAGAAACACCCTGTATATATCCCGCTGTGAATAGCATAAAGATAATAATTTTGATTTTCCGTTGTGTTAGATTTCATAGATACAACTTATGGAGGAGTGGATCGCTTTTTGTCACTATTAAAAGATTTTTTTTTAACTTAAGCTACTTACTAGCATCAGGCAAACTCCAATTACGATGAGCCCCAGCAAGGCGGCCAGCCATCGTCCCATTTTGTGCCCTAATGGACCGAACAGGTTCGTACCAATTAAGTAGGAGATGCTGGCCGGTAAGAAAGTCACCCCTTGCTTCCACTTGTCTGCCCCCATTGTGTCTATCATCCAGATCGGTAGCGATGGCTCCAGCATCGCAATGCCCATATTCGCGAACGTGATGGCACCTGAAAGGCACGAATTGGTCTTTTAGGCCTGTACGGATAGAATAGTGTAGAGTGAATGTTCGGCAGGGAAAGAACAGAACTGGATTCTAAGGATTCATTTTGAATATTTAAGTTTTTTAATAGTGGTATCATCAAAATGCGATGTTCCAGCGATCAAAGCGTTCAAATTTATTACTGAAAATGGAAACATTAATAGTGTCTTTTTCTTCTTACCTGCTGCTATGATGATATAAGGATCTGAGACCAACGCCTTCAAAGATGGTGGATCAGAGTCCTGCCTGACGACTGCTGGTTGGAGCATAAGAAGTTGAAGCACTGAAAAAAATTGTAATCGAATATAAACTACAGTTTTAACGCAATAGCAGGATAAGAGCTTCCTAGTTACAGACATACAGGGTCGGAAAGTCCCCATGGTTCACCGGTCGTTACGTGAGAGCGATAAAGTAAGTCATAGAAATCCATGCGATGGAGAAGGATGGCTATAATGAAGGCGTCTCATAGTCACCGTCAGTTTCGCCCTTCCACAAATAAGATCCACTTCCACTTGTAATTCAGCGACCGGTGGTCATCTTTGTTTTCGTCATTTGCCTTTTCTTTAATAGATATCACTACTTATACAATTCCGACTTCGTATTCCGATATGTTAATACAATTCGTTAACAGAGGGCAGCCCTAGAAAGAGTAATGCCAGATCTATAGATTTTTTTGGAATTGGGGAAATAGGGAATTTTGCTTTATTTCTTGGGATTTTTAAGTCATTTTAAAAAGTATACTTAAATAACAACTGAATGAACTTTAAATGCAGCTGAGCACTATACTCCATTTGAATAACTTCTCAGTAGGGGAAACAAGGTCACTAGATTTACAAACAGAGGTATCTACTAGCTACTGTAAAAAGTTTTCTTTGTTACGCGTTGTGCTGCCCTCTATTAACCGATGGTATTAACATATCGGAATACCGAAGTCGAAATTGTATAAGTAGTGACATCTATTAAAGAAAAGCCAAACGACGAAAACAAAGATGACCACCGGTCGCTGAATTACAAGTGGAAGTGGATCTTATTTGTGGAAGGGTGAAACGGGCGGTAACTATGAGACGACTTCATTATAGCCATCCTTCTCTATCGCACGGATTTCTATGACTTACTTTATCGCTCTCACTTAACGGCCGATGAACCATGGGGACTTTTCGACCCTGTATATCTAAAACAGAAAATTTGCTCTTCTAAATCAATTAATTTATTGTACCCAAAATAGTACCCTATTCTCAATATACAGACCATAGAACGGTTAGATATGTGATAGAATGTGTAAGGTGTATGAGGAATGCGATTCCATGGGCGTAACATTTTAGAGAGTTCCAGAAATTATTAAATATAGAACAAATTGATATGTTAGTGATTGTAAAAACAAAATTTTTTGCTATCTTATGCCTCATATTCGGCCACTGGCCAGATTAGTTCAATAAGATTCAACTCACAATGGTCTGGTGTCAATCTGAGGAGTGTAGCTTTAACAATTTCTTACACTACATATTGCATGTATTTGTTCTCTTTGCTAATTATATTTTTAACTTCATGTCCTTATATTCAATATGTTGTCGTCAACTATGGTAAGGAGCATTATCCATAACTATCACTACATCAGATTGAAAGTAAGGCAAAACAAATGCAAACAATTCTACCACACTGTCCATATTTCCATGGATATCGCGACTCAGACACAAGTAAATCATAATTATTATTAAACACTTCTGATAGTAACAGTGATTCACATTTTTCCATTTTTAACAACAGTTATTGGGACAACTAAAATGTAAAAATAGTATCACGCCTTTCTCACTTGTACGCTTATGACACGCACTGACACGTCTCAGTTAGAAACTGGCACATCGATGGGTTTCAAAATGTCAAACTATGCGGCCTCAGTCGTCTCTCTTTTTGTATGCGATAAACAAAGATAGAAATATTCGCTTGTAATAACAAAAGGTTCTAAATGCGCTCGCGCGTGTTGAACATATCGGAACAATATGCGAAATGAACGCCACATTACAATTTTCATTCAGAGAATACACAAAATTATTTTATCGCTTTGAGAAGGAAAAATTATGGTTTGATTTTGATTGTAGAGTACTGGAGTATAGAAGTGTCAACTTACGTCCGTCTCCCAGGGCTAGGGCCGAAAGTACGAGGAAGGGCGCCGATTTCCCTACAAACTCGTACATAAGCCCACCGAATGGTGGTCCGATGAGGACACCGAGGGCCAGACCTCCAAGGGCGATGCCCATGGCGTTGCCGCGCTCTTTGTCGTCGGGATAACGTTCAGCCAACATCCCCATACCTGACACGCTGGAGCAGGACGAGCCAATTCCTTGCAAGGCCCTTGCTATGAACAGCACGCTGTAGCTGCGGCCAAAGGCGAATACTGCAAGAAATGATAATGTTTATTTTTCATAAATTAGAAGCATAGATGAAAAATATGCCTAATATTTCAATCTTTAAGTACCTAGGGTGACCACCAGGTTAACCGGATTTAAGTCGTATAGATTTTTGATTTATGGAAGAAATTTTACATTACAGTGCGATATTTTAAACAAAGTTTTACTACTTTTATTCAACGCAATTAAAGATCTGACAGATTAAAAGTAAGGGGAAATATTTTCATTAAAAAGCGATTATCTGGAACCTAGATGCAACATAACTTTTACCTTTCTTTAGAATGCTACGGAAAGACTAACTTATCAAGGACTAAGCCATCTCTGATCCCCGATTGATCTCTGAAACAGTTATTGTTTCATATCTTGTCAGTAATTTTTCGTCGAAATGATAAAGCAAGCTCCCTTCTGTGTAGTAATTATTCTGTTAATCGATGTTACTTTATCTGCTACGGGCAACTTGTATTTTAATCAAATTACATCTTTCAATTGTTTCATTAAAATTTAATTATATAATGGACTATACTGCTCAAGTGTTAAACGTTTTTCTGAACTTACTTCTACTTCCTTTGATACCTAGTAATTATGTCTGACAATTCGCAATAACAGACTTAGTATTCGAGATTACCTTTCTTTATCTGCAAAATAATAATCTAATACTCAAAATAGTCGCACGTTAACTTTCGAATCACCGAATATGTCAATAAGATTTGAAAGTTTTTTCCAGAAATGAATGATATTCCGCGTCATTTTACTGTAATTGAATAAGGAGAATTTTTTACTTTAATTAAATTAGCCATAGCAAAACCAATTGTTGCTAAACAATTGATTCAAAGGTGTTAGTAACGCAAGTTTAAATGTTTATCTCTAAGTATAATTCTTGCTGTATATGTTGATGTGTGGTTGTTGTTATCAAATTGTTAACCTGACTTTATGAAAATTGCTATAAGATGCTGCTGAAACAAATAAAAAAATGAACATAATGAAATGTAAGAACAGTATAGAATGTACTCAATTTTTTCCAATGAGTCTATAGACAAAATATTTGTAACATTATTTGAATTTTCATAACAACTTATCTAAAAAGAAGAAAATGACAACTCTCTACTTGTATTCTCAAGAAAAACAGCCATATGCTAATAAGCAGTATAAGAAAAGTTTTGGATGACAATTCAAAATTTGTTGATTTGTTATTAATTGTATGAAATGGAAACTACCATATTGCTATCAAGCATGACTAATATTCATCACAAATTACTAATGCAAGTATGTGGTAATTTGATTTTCAAACTTTATTAAAATAATCTAACGACCTTCATACGTTAATTAATGCGTTGTCGATATTTTTTGTCAAAAAATTAATCAGGCAATGCAAATTTCATTAAAATTTGTCCTAAATTCGAAGTACGCAATATGCGACTAAAATATCACAGATATTAAACCGAAAACACTAAAAAAACTCAAACATTTTCAGAATACTGTACAGGCCAGGAAAATAAGCTGGGAAATTACCATTTCGCGACTTTTTGTTTCGGCAAGCTGAATTTATTACTATAGATGCTGAATATTATGTACAATAACATATTAATTTCCACAGTCATAAAAATGGGGGGAAGATTGTTCACAGGGTGGTTAATTGTATAATTTTTACGTAAATTCGCGTTTTTCACTTATAACTTTTTTCCGTACATTTCCACGAGAAAACAGAACAGTACTTTTTTTCGTCTTCAAAAGACCTACAAAACTAGCGTAAAAAAATATTGATTAGATCAAAAGTTATAAACAGAAGGAGTTTATTTATGACTTTTGAATTAAACATTTATAAACTGTGTTATTATTACCAGAGCGTTTTGGCATCGCATCCTCTCATTCCTTATCACTGTCTAATAACTCACTCAATAGTTTACAAGTTATGGCCTTATAAACAAATTAACTAATTATTAGTCTGGATGATCCCGAGGATCTTCCACAATCGCACTGATTTTTTTCATGGGAGATTTCATAATAATACGTTGAAATCTATCATTTTTTTTCACTCTTTCATCTTTTTCATCTATCATTTCAAAGCAACCTGGATTTTTTTTTTTTACTTTTTAGCCTTAGTTGCAAAATATACGACGCACGAGCGTGATATAGTTATATATTATTGCATATTTGGAAAGCTTATGAAAAGAGCTTTAAGTTAAAAAAAATTATTAATATTCATCGAAAAACAACGGAGTTACAGACTGTCAAAGTTGACGACCGATTGTTAAACAAATTAGGTTGGTAGCGGCAAAAAAAAATACTGTCATAACCGGCAATCCGAGTACTTTCCCAGGTAAAAATATTTTATTTGTGGGAGTATGTTAAGTGCAGAAGAAATATTGTCAAAAGTCAGTGGGTCGCTTGATTTTCGGCGAGCCGTGGCGCGACGGAGGGGTGAGGGAAGCGAACGACAGCGAGTCCGAAGAAAATGACGATAATATTCATAGTCCTGCTGTTAAATAAGGGAAATTCGCTTGAAAATAATATATTAGACAGTCTGTAACTCCATTGTTTAATAAGCTTTCCGAATATGTAATAATACATAACTATATCACGCTCGTGCGTCGTATATTTCATTTTGAAACAAAGGCTAAAAAATAAAAAAAAATTCCAAAAATTATACCATTAACCCCCCCTGTAAACAATCTGCCCCCCATTTTTATGACTGTGGAAACTAATATGTTATTGTACATAATATTTAGCATCTATAGTGATAAATTCAGCTTTTTTCACATAAAAGTTTTTTTTCCACTGAATTGCGTTTGAGCATTTTTTGTTTTGTGTTTGATTTTTTGTGTTCATTCACTGTCAACTCCAAAAATTATCTGTAGAGCACTAGAGAGCTCCAAAACATTTTGAACAGCACAATACATCTAAGCAGCATCGATTGAAAATCGAAATTTTCAACCATGTTTCGAATCCAACAGTCGAAATTGTCCACGGAGCTACAAACGGGTCCGAAGACACCATAGGTAACAGCAAAAGGGTCTGCTGGTGTTGGTAGAGCAACTACCACCGAAAAAAGCTAGTCAGTTTCGAATTTTTCCTAAAAATGCTACGAAATTCGAATTGGCAAGGTACTTGTCCCTGGTTACATAACTGCAAGTGATCAAAGTCGACGTTCGATCGCCTCTTTAACGAGAACGCATCGAAACCTGGACGATCCTTGGAACGATATCAATTCTTGGCATTGCCCTCAAACGTCGCGATTTGCCGCGGTCAGCTGGAAATAGGGGTAATTTTTAGAGATCGGCGACGTTGTTTGGCGAGACTCCTCGGTTTTCTCCGAAATCATCCTCGAGCGTACTTTGGCTTTGTAATATCGTCAGAGCGGTTTTCGGTTCTGTGGTTCGACGTTTCGACTGGAACCCGGGAAGAGATTTGAGTTTGCTCCTAGTTTTCATAAAACAATAGAATACCACATAAAGAGGACGGAATATGACGGCATAAACTATTGCCAAAATAATAATAAAAGGATAAAACTGTTGTCCACCCAATATTTTATGACAAGAAACATTCACACGTTCAATGACACCCTATATTTCATTTAGACAGAGCCGTAACGTACCTTTTAAGGGAAATTCCTCTCCCATCGACCGCGTGATGTTGTACCCAGTGGTGTGGCGAGGTTCCCCTCGTCGTCGGGATCATCTACAACCGGAGCGTATCGTGCGCCAAACAGGATTAAACTTATAACGGGGCAGGCGGGCGGGCGATATGGGGCAAATCGACGAATAAAAAGGGCAACTGATTCCGTACGGCCTGATTTAACACATTAGTGTCTGTAATCGAGTTAGCGCTGAAGAGCGCACATCAGAAGGCGCTTTGTGATAGCTCGGCGTGTAAGTGGTTCTAATTGAATCAGTTGCAGAAGCGGCGCTAATAAGGACCGACTTCAGGACTAATGGAGATGCCACCGACTGCCTTCGGGAAAAACTCGGATCGCTACGGGGTCGCATTAAGCATATCTCGAGAGAAATTAGTCGGATACAATGAAGAAACCGCGTCTGTCGTTTGTTTGAAGACGATACCGGCAGTTTTTGTTAGGGTATTCATGAAACTTTCAAGTTTGAAGATGTTCTGTTAGCTTCAGTTAATTCTTTACTTGTGGAATAGCTTTAAATCCCTTTTAATTTAATTCATTAATACAGGGTGGCCAAATGAAAACGAAACAGAGCCATTTTCAGGAACTGAGTCAAGATTGTAGAAAAACGCTCAGACACGTCGATTTTAGATTAAAGNAAAAAAATACTGTCATAACCGGCAATCCGACTACTTTCCCAGGTAAAAATATTTTATTTGTGGAAGTATGTTAAGTGCATAAGAAATATTGTCAAAAGTCAGTGGGTCGCTTGATTTTCGGCGAGCCGTGGCGCGGCGGAAGGGTGGGGGAAGCGAACGACAGCGAGTCCGAAGAAAATGACGATAATATTCATAGTCCTGTCGTTAAATAAGGGAAATTCGCTTGAAAATAATATATTTGACAGTCTGTAACTCCATTGTTTTTCAACGAATCTTGGCAATTTTTTTTAACCTAAATGAATGAAAAGCTCTTTATGAAAAGAGCTTTCATAAGCTTTCTGAATATGTAATAATATACATAACTATATCACGCTCGTGCGTCGTTATTTCATTTTGAAATTAAGGCTAAAAAATAAAAAAAAATTCCAAAAATTATACAATTACCTAACCACCCTGTAAACAATCATCCCCCCATTTTTATGATTGTGGAAACTAATATAGTAATGTACATAATATTTAGCATCTATTTATAAATTCAGCTTGCCGAAACAAAAAGTCGCGTCCAACTCTATATTTCTTATACTATGTATTCGTACGCAAAAATGTGTCCCTGAATTTACATGAAATGTATTAGATTACTAGAAATGTGAAACGGTATATGTTCCCATTTTATTTCCTGAAATACAGGGTACAACAGAAGAGAGGACACTTTCTGTTTCTTCTGTTTTTTCGCCTAAAAGTTTTTTTCACTGAATTGTATTTGAGCATTTTCTGTTTTGTGTTTGATTTTTTTGTGTTTGATCTTTTTTGTGTTCTTTCAGTGTCAACTCCAAAAATCGCCTGTAGAGCACTAGAGAGCTCCAAAACATCTTAGACAGCAGCATCGGTTGAAAATCGAATTTTTCTACCACGTTTCGAATCCAACAGTCGAAACCACGGAGCTGCAAACCGGTCCGAAGACACCATAGGTAACAGCAAAAGGGCCTGCTGGTGTTGGTAGAGCAACTACTACCGAAAAAAGCTAGTCAGTTTCGAATTTTTCCTAAAAATGCAACGAAATTCGAATTGGCAAGGTACTTGTCCCTGGTTACATAACTGCAAGTGATCAAAGTCGACGTTCGATCGCCTCTTTAACGAGAACGCATCGAAACCTGAACGATCCTTGGAACGATATCAATTCTTGGCATTGCCCTCAAACGTCGCGATTTGCCGCGGTCAGCTGGAAATAGGGGTAATTTTTAGAGATCGGCGACGTTGTTTGGCGAAACTCCTCGGTCTTCTCCGAAATTATCCTCGAGCGTACTTTGGCTTTGTAATATCGTCAGAGCGGTTTTCGGTTCTGTGGTTCGACGTTTCGACTGGAACCCGGGAAGAGATTTGAGTTTGCTCCTAGTTTTCATAAAACAATAGAATACCACATAAAGAGGACGGAATATGACGGCATAAACTATTGCCAAAATAATAATAAAAGGATAAAACTGTTGTCCACCCAATATTTTATGACAAGAAACATTCACACGTTCAATGACACCCTATATTTCATTTAGACAGAGCCGTAACGTACCTTTTAAGGGAAATTCCTCTCCCATCGACCGCGTGATGTTGTACCCAGTGGTGTGGCGAGGTTCCCCTCGTCGTCGGGATCATCTACAACCGGAGCGTATCGTGCGCCAAACAGGATTAAACTTATAACGGGGCAGGCGGGCGGGCGATATGGGGCAAATCGACGAATAAAAAGGGCAACTGATTCCGTACGGCCTGATTTAACACATTAGTGTCTGTAATCGAGTTAGCGCTGAAGAGCGCACATCAGAAGGCGCTTTGTGATAGCTCGGCGTGTAAGTGGTTCTAATTGAATCAGTTGCAGAAGCGGCGCTAATAAGGACCGACTTCAGGACTAATGGAGATGCCACCGACTGCCTTCGGGAAAAACTCGGATCGCTACGGGGTCGCATTAAGCATATCTCGAGAGAAATTAGTCGGATACAATGAAGAAACCGCGTCTGTCGTTTGTTTGAAGACGATACCGGCAGTTTTTGTTAGGGTATTCATGAAACTTTCAAGTTTGAAGATGTTCTGTTAGCTTCAGTTAATTCTTTACTTGTGGAATAGCTTTAAATCCCTTTTAATTTAATTCATTAATACAGGGTGGCCAAATGAAAACGAAACAGAGCCATTTTCAGGAACTGAGTCAAGATTGTAGAAAAACGCTCAGACACGTCGATTTTAGATTAAAGGATGACATTCTTTGCCGGTATTTTTGACTCCGCCACTTTCACCCCAAAGCAAAGGTAAGCATCACCCCAAAATATTTAAATGGCATTGGGGGTTGAGTAATATTTCTTTTGAAAGCTCTTACAATTCTCTTTACAACAGACTTTAAATTTTATAATTCCGCCCAATACTTTGAAAAAAATTTACATTTTAAAATTTAAATTATGTTTAGTTGCTTACTTACTACTTAGTTGATTAAATGTTCAAACTGATGACCGCCCGCTTCCATACAAGAATAAAGATTTTGTTCGAAACGTTCGCGCACATTCCGAAGCATTTCCGGAGTGATTCGACGGCATTCGTCGACGATTCTTTGACGCAAATCTTCCAGCGACGCTGGCTGTGTTTTATAGATTTTACTTTTTAGGTATCCCCACAAAAAGAAATCAAGGGGCGATAAATCCGGTGATCGTGGAGGCCACTCAATGCTGCCTCTTCTCCCAATCCAATTCCGTAGAAAACGTTGGTCCAAATACTGACGGACAATTAACGCATAATGCGGAGGAGCACCGTCCTGTTGAAAAATCAAATGATCTTCATCATACTCTGGAACATTTTCAATAATATCAGTCAAGGCAGGGTCAATAGCGTCTTCCAGTAATTGCAAATACATTTGGCCAGTCAAATTACCAGGTAGAAAAAAAGGACCCACCAGCCGGTCACCGAAAATTCCAGCCCATACATTTAATTTTTCCGGTTGCTGTGTATGCACCTCGTGAAAAACTCTTGGGTTTGAATCGGACCAATAGCGGCAATTGTGACGATTTACCGTCCCGTTCAAGAAAAAACTGCATTCATCAGAAAAACAGATGTTAAAAAGGAACTGTGGATCGTTCCCTGCTCGCTCACTCATTATTTCGCAAAATTGCAAACGGCGGTCATAATCATCCTCATGAAGTTCCTGGACTAAATGTATTTTGTATGGATGGAATTTATTCTTCTTCAAAATGGTTTGTATGCTAGTTCGATTGATCCCAGACACAGATGCCAGCTGCCTCGTACTTAATGTAGGATCAAGATGAACTTGTCCCAAAACTGCAACTTCACTAGCTTCATTAACTATAGGTTTTTCAATTTCTCGTTTTTTATTGGCTACGTTCCCTGTCTCTTGAAATTTTTTTACTAACTCTAGAACATACTTCCTCCTGACATGTCGATCTTGATGTTGTTCATTAAATAGCTGAGCTGTTCTATTCGCACATTTATTGTTCATAAAGTAAAGCGAAATGATATCTACCCTTTCCGCAATGGAATAAACCATAGTGTTTAATTTTCAAAAACACAATTAAATAAACTACCAACCAACGCTTCCAAATAATACTAGAAAATAATTTGGAATCCACTAATTTTACGTTCATTGTGTGTGTATAGCATTCATTTCTGTTTTTTACAATTGTGTTTTTTTACGAAAGTGATAACAAATCGCCAAAAACCAATGTAACGCAGGAAATACTAAATTTATAACATTGGCGTACTTAACTCGAATGACACATTTTTACAGTTACTAATTGTTTGTACATAAGTTTCAACTTTAAAAATTTAAAGTCTGTTGTAAAGAGAATTGTAAGAGCTTTCAAAAGCAATATTACTCAACCCCCAATGCCATTTAAATATTTTGGGGTGATACTTACCCTTGCTTGGGGGTGAAAGTGGCGGAGTCAAAAATACCAGCAAAAAATGTCCCCCTTTAATCTAAAATCGACGGGTCTGAGCGTTTTTCTACAATCTTGACACAGTTCCTTAAAATGGCTCTGTTTCGTTTTCATTTGGCCACCCTGTATATCTCTCAATAATTGCAAAAATTGTCCTCAGAAAATTAATGTCCATAGCTTTTTACGTAAAAAGGAGCATTCTTATTCGAAACTGGTACAGCCAATAATTGTATTATCACATTTACCTTCCGTAACTACTTTCAATAAGGTGGAATCAATAGTTAGTGAATCAAAAAAATAATAGTATGTACTTACTTATAGTAGAGAGAAACATAATGATGAATCCTGCAAACATGGGTACGCTGTAGCCAATTCTGTAACAAGAAACCATTTAGACCAGAGTTATACAGGCGGCGTTGAATATATTAAAGTTCTAATAATAACTATTGCAAAAAAATGGTGCTTCTTACTTGTGAGTTAGAGGACCTACGAATGGGTTGGCCAACAACTGCACAAATGCCTTCGAGGCAAACATCATGCCCACCTCCACAGTTTCCTGTACCAGATCCTTGTGGCGCAGTTCTTGTTGTACAGCTTCTGGGTCCAAGGTCGTGAAATTATCTATAAGAACAGCAACGTCAAAATTGAAGACAATTTTGGAAAAGATAAAAAGAAAAAATATTTTTAGTAGAGTTATGATCTGGGTGGCATTTGTGAAATGTTAGGTGCGAAATTGAATTCTTACTTTCATTTTGTGGTGTCTCAAAATTTCCAAAGCTTCGTGGATTTTCGGATTTGAAATCATGGCACATTTTATTTAGTGAACAATCAGAGCAACTGTTTCATAACAAAAAATTAGGGTAAATCCATTGTAAGCGAATGATTTTGTTCGAAATGTGACTACAATACTACCTATATTTGGCGCCCAATGTGGGGCTCGAAATCAATAAACTTTAAAAATCTTATAACATTAAAAGTATGTTTTTTTTTTGTCAAAATAACAAAGGCAATAAGGGCTGGCTACTCACATATTTCCGTAGGTGCCGCGGTGTTAGAATAGTTGATGTTCTGGTTCATCTGTTGGCAAGAGATGGGAACCGGCGGCGGCGGCGTGGTGGTGGTGGTGGTTCCCCTAACGTGTCCGTCCAGGGGTGCATCCGGATGATTGATGTCGTACAAAAACTCCGGGATGATCGGCACTGGAAGCAAACATTTATACAACACATTAGCGATATCGGACCGGCGTTAACATTCGTGATGGCTTTAATCGATTCGTTCGGGATATTCATAAGGAGCCGGTTGGTCGAAGAGGAAACAACGATAAAGGAAAAGAGGAAGTAATGTGAGGGGATTAGTGTGCATGTGGAGAAATATTAGTTATTCATGTACCTGGGATCGTAAGAGCAATTTTATGGTGAAAAATACGGTTTGCGAGTATTTGAGATCATAAAACTGCCTGTACGATCCGTGGTGCATATGTCAAATTATTTAAAATAGGCATTTTGAATGTTTTTTAATGATTTTCCTGTTCTCTCTTAAAAATTTTTGGCTGCGGCGCTTTTTTTTCTTTCTTGTCCACCTAGTAAAAGAGCCACAGACCTCACCTATTCACAATATCACCAGCCGCCACTGGAGTATATCACATCCATAATAAAAACATATCAAGTCATTAACATTCGGTATATCTATACAGGGTGATTCATTAACATGAAAGCTGAAGATACTACACGTGAAATGGTGACCATTGGCGCAAATATGCCTTATCCAAAAGTTAATAGATTCGGAAATACAGGGCGTTGAAAGTTAAAATTTTAAATCGTTTTTTTGCGATTATTCTGAAAATATGTAGGTTAGGAACTTGAAAATTTGTGAAACTATATTTTTTTAGGCGACGAATAAGATGCGTGTTGTAATTTCAGCATTGCTCATATAGGGCGCCACTTACGACCAATTTTACCGAAAAATTAGTTAATAACTTTTTACCTTGTATATTTAACATGAAACTTGATTCAAAACCTGAAAGAGCTATCATTTTTCCATTAATTATGTACTCTTGTTTCATTTCGGTATCTCGATCCGTTTTCGAGAAAAATCGATTTAACGAACACTATGTTTTGATAATACGAGAAATTAAAAGCGAAACAAACCAAGTGTTTCTTCGTGTTATTACAACAATTAACAATAAAACAAATGAAATTCGTAATAATGATTTAAAGTCAGTGTTCGAAGAATCCACCGTTGACATTTACACACTTTACACAACGTTTTCTGAGAGATCTTCGAGTTTGAAACAACATATTGGGATTGCGTTTGACTTCGTTGGCAGCGATTTGTATTCTTTGCCACAACTCTTCACACGAGCCAATAGATTCTTTGTAAACTATATCTTTCATTCGAGACCAAATAGAAAAATCAAGAGGATTGAAGTCCGGTCAAGCAAAAATGATTACATGACCAATCCAGCGATTTGGAAAAACTGCATCTAAATATGCACGCACTGGCCAAGAAAAATGCGGTGGAGCTCCGTCGTGCATGAACCACGTGTCTCTTCTTAAATAAAGTGGAACTTCTTCAAACAATTCGTCGCCCAAAAAAATATAGTTCCACAAATTTTCAAGTTCCTAACCTACATATTTTCAGAATAATCGCAAAAAAAAACGATTTAAAATTTTAACTTTCAACACCCTGTATTTCCGAAACTATCAACTTTCGGATAAGGCATGTTTGCGCCAATGGTCACCATTTCATGTAGTATCTTCAGCTTTCGATTTTCCCATTGTTAATGAATCACCCTGTATACAGGGTGTCCCGTTCATGTTTCAAAAAAACTTGTGTGCAAGTTCTCGATGGAAAAATAATAGGGGTAGTTCATGTAAAGTTTTTTTCTTAGACGCCTTGTTTTCGAGATACAGTGTGTTGAAGTTGTTACTTTCCAAGTGGTTTTCCTTAATTATCTTTAAATGGGCTATAGATAAAAATGTCTAAATTTGTACACGAGTAAACATCAACTATGCGTTAAGAATAATGTGCAAATGGTTTCTTTCTGAAAAGCAGTGTCACGGATACAGGTAATTGGAGGGGTACAATCGAAAGAAAATGTTGAAAGTTAAAATTTATTACATTTATAAACGGTTCTGTAAACTCCAAAGCAAACTACAAAGAAAAGGTATACTTGTCGAAATTTGGTAGCATGTACCATTTTCGAGAAAAATGAAACTTTACATGAACTACACCTATTATTTTTCCATGAGGAACTTGCACACAAGTTTTTTTGAAACATGAACGGGACACCCTGTATATGTCTCTAAAGGATATGTATAACGCTCCACCGGATACGGCTCAAAATAAGTCGATTTAACTAAACTTGCCTTAGTCCAAAAATTGATAATAACGCAGCTACAGGGTGTCAAAGTTGAAGAAATAAATAACATTTTCTTTAATATTTTTCGAATACTCCGAGTTAATCTCGTGAAATTTCGTATCCGGGTTTTTTGGGGTGAGAAATTCGATTTTATCGACGATTTCGTTGTATCTTCTAGAGGGCGCCACAAACGACCATTAGAACGCATTTAAACTGCCAAAACTTTTTTGTGCCACGGTGTATTTCACTTTGGGCTGGAAAAATAGTTTCCTTTAACTTTTCTGCTTAAAAAATGTATATCTTGATAATATCTCTAAAGCCAACCGTTTTCAACAAAAATTTAAAATGAATAACAAAATACGTAAAGCAGCGGAAACAGGAAACAGGTGTCCCACAAGGAATAGGAACGCAAATTCATTTATGTCTGTCTGTACAGTTACAGATAAATATGAACTGATGCAGATCCCTGGAGATTTCTCACTTAAGAACGGAAATTGAAGTCCCGTTTCATCTAACAAAGTACTACAATATTCATATAGATGTCGCTACAGGAAATACGTTTATAGTAAAAATAGTACGATTATTTCATTCATTCAAATTCCGGCAAAACACACCTAAAAAAAACGAGAAAATGCCAGGTGCACGCATACGTGCACAATGAGTTGTCCGGCCTATACGTCCATCCCACTCTCTTGCTATCTCATAATTGCATATGAAAAGAGAAGGGTAATAAAATAATAAAAACTCCAATTTGCGGCCGCCGGTTTTTTGTTCTGAAAATATTTCTATTTTCTATCTTCTACATATTATTATGTACATATTTACAAAAAAGGAGGATGGCAAGTGGTTGTACAAATTTATAATATTTGCAGCCAACTAAAAGTTTTATTTCATATTATTTTCTACATTTTAGTACTTATATGGATTCGGACCAGAGTAGGTGCGAATGTAATTATTTCTTGTATGGATCTTTGAGCTGTTATCTTTTATTGTTGCGTTGTGGCTGCGAAATATTTTATTTGTGGAGTTTACTATTTTTTATATGAAGGAAAAAACATTAACAGAGTAAGTATTACAATTTGCTAGGCATAGTTGTACTTAGTACTAAATTCAAGTAAATAATAGATATTAAAATAAATATGTAGGTATTGTATTTGATTATTTGAAAATAAAAATTACATATGCGACAATGGACTTTCCGCTTACTTAGCCGTAATATAAATATGACATATTGTCGTTGCAATGCACATACAGGCTGTTCCAATAGTGTGACAAAGTTTATAATTATTTTCAGTTATAGTTGTATAGGGCAAAATCTTCAGGCCAAAAACAAGATTTTCTGAACGTTTAATTCGGTCTGAAAATAATGAATAATGGAAATAATAATAAAATGTGAATCCGAGCAAGTAACTTTTTTCGTATCACTACTACAGGCAGTTATACTAAACTTTATCGCACTATTGTGGCACCCTATATATGACTAGATATATCATTATGGTAAATCAAAAGCATAATAGGTAAAAATGTATAATTATCTATGTTTATAACAAATATTATCTGGTAAAATTCTTTTCTTACTTTCAGATACGGAACCGGAAGAAGTCTATATGTTATTTCGTAATATACCTATAGTGGTGAAAACAACCCACTCTATGTAGAACAAATTAAGAAATATGAAGAATTATGGAAAAAATCAATGGCAACAAATTTGGAACAATTTTATAAAAATTGTATACTACCAGAAATAATATACAAAAATATTCCACAGGGAAAAAGATGTATGGATCCAGAATATATTATAGAAACTCAAATTAATAAAAAGAAATAATTTTATTTTATGAATTTTTAAATTTTTTCCTGTTCTACTGTACCTATTCTATTTACTTCTTTATTACTTTCATTTATTTACATATTTATTAAACTACACTGTTCCACAGAATTTCTGTTTATATTGGAGGTATTAAAGTACCTATAAGACAACTATTTTTTCAATTGAAGTGAACTGAATTACCTATTTCTCATAAAAAAAATTTAGACTCAAATCGTCCTTTTGTACATAATTCTTTACACATTTTTTGGACAAAATAAGTATATCGTACATATTTTTTATATTTTCTCATTATTATGTATATTCACAATTAAAATTCTATTTATATTAATATGCAAATTTTTTTTATCAAGAATTACTTAATATTAATTATTAAAAATATAATATTTTCCATTTCTGTTTATACCAAAGTAAGCCGCTTTATTCACAAATCGTAATTATAACGTAACTTTCCGTTATGAACAACTTTTCTTATTAACATTTTTTTTATATTATCAAAAACAAAAGCAGTTTATTCTTCAACGTTATTAATTTTGTTAAATTTCTGATCACCCTGTATATATATTTATTACAGTTTTTCATGACAAACGTATTCAATTAAAAAGCAAAATATTTTTTGTCACGAATTACTTTTTCTAGTAGAATAGAAAATAAAAATGTTTTCCCTCTTATCCACTAACCGTAGATACTAATATAGGTATATTAATTATAAATTATGGTTTTAAATAAACTAAAAATTGTTTATATTTCATATTTTCTAAAATTATATAATAGTATGGACTTGCACTGTTACTTATATACTTTTATACAAAAATATATCTAAAATGATCATGACATTCTTTAAATATTTACGTATCAATTAACAGAAACCATGACTACCAATTCAGAATCAGGTTATACCAAATTAACCACATACAACAGCTGTTCGTTAAAAATAACCCGAGTCCATTCATAAATAAATTTTTACTTGTGCGACATCTATTACAAATCAAGCGAATTAAAGGTCGGAG